ATTAAAATTTAAAGCCTACATTCCTCAGCAGACACCGTAAGAGCAAAAAGGCAAGACCCAGTGGAGAAAGAAGTTTGCAAAACACACATCCAACAAATGACGCATCCAAGACACACGAAGAACTAAAAATCAGTCAGAAGAGAACAGCCGACAACCCGACAGAAAAATAAGATAGCACAGTTTTCTGTCTTTTTTTAAAAAAAGGGTATCACAGAGCCAGGCGTGGTCATGTACACCTGTAATCCCAGCTAAGAGAGAGGCAGAGGTGGGACGACCTAGGTCAGAGACTGGCCCTGGTAAAAAGTGTGGGACCCTCTCCCCAAAATAAACTAGAGCAAAAAGGACTGGGGACACGCTGAAGTGGTAGAAGCACCTGCCTAAGAAGCCTAAAGTCCCTGAGTTCAAATCCTAGTATTGCCACAAAAAAAAAAAAAAAAAAAAAGGGAAAATGTATCGGAATGTGCAATAGATGTGATAAAAGGTCATTAACATCTTGGGAAAAGCAAATGAAAACCAAAATTAAGTGACATTAACTTCCCAAACGGCTGGCCTGGAAAAGATGGGCACTTCCCAAACCCAGGAACCTGGCTGGTCCACCCATGAACCAGGATCACTTGGGAAAACTTGGTCTGGACACACGCCTTCCCCAGAACCCCGCACCTCCACCCCCGGGCAGATACCCCACAGGACTCAAAGTCAGGTCCTGGAACCGTCCAGGGTGCACTCAGTCCCAGCCCAGGCTGGTGGAGGGGCCGTGTCTGGAATGGGCATTCTGGATGCTGGCCATGCCCTGCTGCTCGATCTGGGGTGACCTCACTGGGGGGGGGGGGTCCACCCTGAAGACGGCAGCCCTCGCACACACTTCTGCAGGGGTGTCGTCCTGCTGTGATTCATCTGCTCCTAAAATAGCAGCGTGGGGGGTTTGCCTCCCTCCCTCTGTGAGTAACAAAACGCATTTCAAAATGAGAAAAAAAAAAAAAGCGTGGACATTCAGCCAAACAATTCTAAGACGTCATCCTAAAGACAGAATCGAGCAGGGGCACACAAGGTTCCTTACGGCACTGTTTATAATGAAAGCCTGATGGAAGCCAGTTACATAGTGACAGAGGCTGCTACACAAAGGACTACAATGCAGCCAGGAAAATGATCAGAGTTCACAACTATCAGCATAGAAATGCAGACATGCTAACCCAAACACTGGAAGCCGAAAGCGGCACAGCTGGCAGAACCTGTGACCCAGCTCTGTGTGCACTCACAGACCCACAGACACACCTGAAGGAGCCCGTCACAGGTCCACGCCCATTTCCTCTGAACAGTGGATCTCAAATCTTGTTTAGCTATGTGTGTGTTTGAACAGCCGTGTCTGGGCACAAGTCTGCAGGGCAGGGCCACCCAGGTCCCTTGTGCAGTGAAGAATGACCCCAGAAAGAGAAGAAAACTTCATTCTCAATATGACTTTTTTTTTTCCTCATTCACTGCAAATCCTGGAGAAATACCATCTACAAGCCACAAGCCCTACCTGAGAGAAACCAGCCCTCCCGCTGCACCTCCCTTAATCTGGCTCGGAATTTGACTATTTAAGAAGCATAAAAACATGGCTGTGTTTAATAGTCCCAAACTGGAGATAACCAAATTATACACAAGTGAATAAGATATGGGATATTCATATGGTGGAATATTACACAGCCATGAAAATGCCCAGCTATGACCACTGCTAGTGATTCTGGGCTGGGAATCTCTCGGGGGTTTTGTCCCTGCTCAGAGACATATGTGGTTGTCACAGCTGGGTGCTCCTACATCCAGTGGGTAGAGACCAAGGATGCTGTTGGGTACCCTGCTGTGCTCAGCCCAGTCCCCTAAAGACAGTGCTCTGACCTGATCTGAGTCTCACTAATAAGCCAGAGATGCTTCAGCTGGGGGGTCAGGGGCCACCTGAGACAGGCAAAGCTCAGAGGTCAGTGTCTAGGGATTGCACTGCATGTCTGCAGTAGATGACAGACGCATTCTTCTGCACGGTGGAGACATGAACGCAGGGACTGCCGGCATGTTTATGAAGCCTGGGATTCGTGCACATCTATTCCAGTGTCCAGGAGACTGGACACGTGTGTGCTGACTTCAGAGACAAAGGACTCCCAAGACACCCAAGTGTTACTTAAGAGGACACGGACTTCTGCAGTTCTCAGACGCGACCACACAGCAAAGCAGCCAGCCCTCGGGAGGCACAGGGAAAGGGGCAGCACTGAACGAGCCAAGACGAGCACCGTCCAACACCCCGGAGGCCACACGGGGCCTGGGTGCGCCCTGCGCCCCCCACCCTCTCTGCAGAGGGCAGCTCCAGAGCCAGGTCAGAACCCCAGCCAGGCTCACCAACCTCCTGGGCCATTTGTCCTCGGCAGCCTCAAGGCCCAGAGTAGTGGACAGACTTTACAGGTTCAGAGACAGCCTGGGCAGAGCAATGCAGTCCTATGTCCCAGGGCCTCTGGGAGTTTGCCATGGCACACGCTGGGGTCAGGAGGAGGCCCCACTCAGGAGGGCCCAGTAGAGTCCTCCTGAGGTGCCCTAGCACCTCAAGACCCTGGGCAGCCTGGACCATGCCAGGAAAAGGAAGTTTCCTTGACCTTGGCTATGACCTTGACCCACTCGCCGCGTCAGAAGAAACGCGCTGCCCTCCACATCAACGAGGGGGAGACAGCCCAGCCTTCTGAGCACCCTCCATCCATTCCCACAGGCCGTCAGCAAGGGCTCCATGGGAAAGGCTGCCATCGGAGACAGCAGGGCACAAAACATCCTCAGAAATACAGAGCCACCTTCAAAAGGAAAACCCCAAAGCCCTTGAGGACACTTGGCTAAGACATGCTTTAATTACCATCCTTTTCTGTTATGATAAAAATTCCTCTCTGCCTCTTTTTTTAGACAAACTCCTTATTCAAAGCTTTCTTTGTTAAAAATAACTACAGTAACCAGCCATTAAACAGGGACTGCATTTTGTCCACCCTTTTTCTCTGGTTTGTAAATTGGCCCCTTCTCACTTCACAGAAGACAAAAATGTGGTCTCCACGAGACTTCCACCAACTGCACCAAAGCCGGCAGGACCTGCGATTCGGCTGCAGGGGAAGCAAGAGGCGGCCGGCTCCCTCGGGGGCTCGCTGTGTCCTCTGGTCATGGCTAGGACGGGGAGTCTGAGGACAAGGGTGCAGCAAGCCCTGCCACAGCCCAGAACACTCCTAGCTTCTCTGTCTGGACAGTTGTTTTCCAAACACACGGTGGCCCTCGGTTCCACAGCTCTTTGCCACCTCCACAGAAGTCCTATGGCTCCATGTCCCACTAAAGCCATCTTGGTCTTCCACCAAGACCCAACCTGCTACCAAGGGGGCCATCGTGCCCAGGCAAGGCCCCCGGACCTTCCACTGGCTCTACCTGGGTGTCCTACAGAGCTGCGGCCACCTGCACCTGCTTCCTGCGCCCACACTTCTCAGCTGGGCTGCTCTGGGACGGGATGCACTTCTGGGTGGAGAGTTCAAGGCTTTGCCACTCCCCAAAGCGCTGCTGGGATCGTCTGGATGAGATGCCTAGCAGAACAGTCTTTAGGACTCCATCTGTCTTTCACTCATCCTGGACAGCTCACAGTGGTGCATGTTTATAGACAGGTCTCAGGAGAGATGGGGGAGCCTGGCTGGAGGCTGTCATTCTGTTGTCCCCATGGGTCTGCTCTCTGTCACTTTGTTATGACACAGCCAGAGGTCAAAATAAAGGGAGCAGAAAGGAAGACGGGGAAGGGGGATCCCTTTGCAAAACTTTGCAGAGCACAGAGTGGAGCCTGCTGCAGATGTACGGGCCGTTCACAGCAACAAGCCGTTCCCCCGTTCAGAAATGCAGGGGACAACCTAAGTACTAGAAAAGAGCTAAATACCAACCAGAGGAGAGGTCTGAACAAACCCGCGTGGGGGACCACGATGCTGCAGAGAAAACGGAGGAATCTCTTCTGGCTGACCTGGGGTGGCTCCAGGACAGAGACCATGGAGGGCAGAAGAGTTTCTTCAGTGCCCACCCTTTCCAAGAGAAGGAAGGGGATAGAGGAAATGGCAGAAGGACAGGAGGATAAGAAGAGGAAGGAGCTTGGTGTGGGGCACCACTTTCCGGTTCCGCAGTTCACACGGGCCTGATGGGACAAGGACGAGTGTGTGCTCGTGTGCTCTGGCATGTGGCTCTGAGCCAGCCGGCCGGTCCTCCCCCCTCAGTGCTCCTGCCTGCCTTTAGGGGTCTGATCCTCACTGTGCTCTTCACTGTCCCTCTGCCCGGCCTTGGGACTGCTGCTGTCACCCACAGGCTGCCCTCCATGAGAGACTTCACCTGAAGGCTGGGGTCCTTCAGACAGACTGGGACCCCCCTGTGTGTAACTCACTTCAACACCTGGGCGCCGGGCGCTCGACTCGGCCTGCGGGAGCTGCTGAGCTGCCTGGGAAGGCTGTGTGCTTGCCTGTGAGTGTGCACGGTGGCACCATAAGGGACAGTGGCCCATCAGACGCCCTGCACCTCAGCCATGCTCACCCGTTGACAGATAACTTAAAGACAGAGGGAGCCACGGTGACCATGGCCCAGGATGGACAGCTCACCGCTGGAAGTCTCACGAATAACGGTGTTTCTCCTAAGCTCGTAAGAGCGATTCCCTCAGACAGAGCACAGTTCATGTGACAACTGAGGCAACAGGACACTCGCCACAAATCAGAGACGTACACACGAGTGCCGTGCACATCTCAGACGCACTCAGGCCTCAGAGGCCTCCTCGCCCAATGTCAACCCGTGCGACTGACCCCAAGTGCCATCGACGGGGACCTGCCACAGTCCAGAGGCAAAGTCACAAGGACTCTGGGAAGAGGAATCAGCCCATTTCGCCAGTGCCAAACCCACAAGCCGTTCTTTCGGCAATCACACAGGCGGCCGAAGATGCCCCGATGCGGACCAGATCCGAGACCGGGAGGAAGCAGAAGTCACTTACTCACCAGTTTGTGCCTGAGATGGACGGTGACCAGGGGAGAAGCAGACAGATTCTGGGAGAGGGTGGGAAGCGGGGTCACCTCGAGAGAAATCAGGCGGCTAGCAGCAGACAGTGGGCAGTCTCTGTAATACACTGCCTCTGTGATCCTTGGAAGAAATGGAAATTGTTACAAGATGGAAAATAGAGAGGGAAGGGGCAGCTAGCACGCCATGCTGGGTCCTCCTCTTCAGGAGGAGCACGGGGTTCTGTCTTCCAGCGGTGCTGCTCTCCGGGGCTTGTCTCTCTCCTCTTTTAATCTGTCAGCTGAATTCTACCTTCAGCACTGCTCTTTTTGAGGTCCAACACCAGTATCAGGAGGTGACAGGGCCCCGGTGTCAGAATAGCCAGGGAGCGTGGAAGGACTCACAGTCACAGACCTTGAATCTCAGCTCTCCATGTGACCTGGGCAGCCCTCTCACCTCTCTGAACTTAGCTTCCCTGACTGTGAATTGTCACGGTCTGCCGCGTCACCTCCCAGTATCCACTCCTTCCTTTCCTTAGAAAGGTGCCTCAGTTTCCCTGCAAGTGACGGCCCCTCTCCTTTTTAGCCCCTGAACTTGGAGCTGACTCCGTCCCTGCCTCAGGAACAAGCCCTTCATCCTGGTCTGAACCAGCAGCACGCCATATTCCTCAGCCTAGGGTGACCTCTCAGAGACGAGCACAGGGCCCAAGAGCATCCAAGAGATGCAACAAGGTTCCCGTGGAGGACGTGGTGACAGAGGCTGGAGTCTCTGCTGGACACCAGCCCTGAAGGATGAGGTCCCTGGCTTAGAATCTCCCATGAAGGGAGAGTCTGACTGAGAAGGGGGCCCGTCCCGGGGAAGAGGAAGAGAAGTGTGGCGCTTAAATGACCCCTGGGGCACGCCAAGGCTCCTGTGCACCTCACCCCACCCCAGCCCTGCCGGTGTGCCACAGGTAACGGACGACACTCTGTCTCGGGGATGTGCATGTCCAGGAACTATGCTAGAATGGACAGTGGTCACCCAGCCACTTCTGGACCCTGCAGGCTTCCTGTTCTATAGAGGTGGAAACTGAGGCTTGGTCACTGGACCAGGGTCACATGGTTAGGCCCAAGTGGTGTTGACGGGTCTTGGGGCCCAGAGTCTCCTCCAACAGCAAGGCCTGAGGTGCTGCACTCGGGGCTCTCTGACAGGGTGTGTGTTCGGGGGCGGGGGGGGGGACATCACCATGATCGGCCACCCAGGAAGAAGCACATCCCTCCCCTCCTCTGTGTCACCCTGAGCAACTCACTTTGTGCTGGCTGGCGGGATATTATTTAAGTAGCAGTGCACGGAGTGGTACAGGAGGCCCACGATGGTGGTCCAGGCTGGGGACAAAGCAGAGGTCAACGCTGCAGGGACAAGCAAGAGACACGCAGAGTCCCCTGCCCAGCACAGCCTCTCGTGCCCAGGGCCAGGGTGCCTCTTGGAGTGGGGAGGATAGAAAACGAAGGGCAGCAAAGCCAGAAATTGCAGCAGCATCAATGCCACAGCTATTTCACTGAGTGCTCAACTGTGACAACGACTCCCTGCACCAACTCCAGACACACAGATGCTGAGCTCTGGGAAGAGCCAGACCTGCCCAGGTCTGTGGCCTTCAGGCCCCTCATGGGCAGCACCAGGTGGTGCTAGCCATCAACCGCGAGGCAGGGAGTGCCCTCTGCACACGGTGCTTCTGGTGACCTTGATACTGAAGGGAGGCAACAAGTGGAGGCTCACAAGAAGTGGCAGACACCCTAAAAGGCTGCCTGCTGCCACCTGGTCCCACCTCTCTGCTTTATTACAACTTTGAAACAGGAAGCATGTGTTCCCTTGTTCTTTCACTCAAGCAGCACTCAGAGAAGCGAGACTTTGACTGACTTTGTGAGCTCTTTGAGGTGTTAGCTAAGTGCGCTAGCACTTTAGGAATGTATTCTGCAACTCCTGTCCACGCACCACGCACCAGACCTTGTTACGCACACTCTGCCTGTAAGTCCCATAGCCACATCAGGAGGCAGCACTACTGTTGAACCAGGCACAGACGAGTTCAGTCACTTGCCCAGGCCCTACAGCCAGCAGCAGCAGGGCCCGGATTCCAGCCACAGAGCCAGGGCTCGTCACCAATAAGCCCTGCTGCCAAGCACAAGAAGTTCCCATGTGTGGAAAGCACGGGCTCTGCTGGTTTTGCAAAACTGGGCATCTCTGACACTTCCTACAGCCAGGTGTGGAGGACAAAGACCTTAGCAAGGTCTCCGGGAGCAGGACACAACCTGTGTCCTGGCCAGGTGAGGTGGAGACCAGAGGGCATCTTCTCACAGGCTCAGGCAGTGAGACCAGAGGGGTTGCTCAGGAAGGGGCTGAGTGCCCTGGCTGGCCTGGTCTCCACCCCTAGGGCAGAGCCAGGCCTCTGTCAGGGTGTCTGGGGTGAGGATCCCTGGCTCAGAAGGGAGAGCCTGTGGGAGCAGAGGCCTCTCCAGGCACCAGAATGGACCTGGGCCCCATGTGCTCTAGGACAGAGTCATCAAAGCGGCCTGACCACTTAGTCATCCCAAGACTTGACCTGGGCCTACACAGGTTTAGCACCCAGGTCCCTCGCCTAGCCACCTCCACCCTGAGCAAGTAGGGGAGAGGGCCATCTATTCACATTTAGCTAACCAGGAGCCGAACAGAGTTGGGGACACCTGATGTCCCACACAGTGGCCAAGGGGCCAGACTCACTTGAATGCAGAGTTCCAGCAACCCCATCCCAAATTCCAGTTCAATCTGCAGGACACTATGGAGCAAGCTTTGTGAGGGACACCTCACGGCCCAAGCGTGGACTTTGAGAACAACTGCTTAGCCATCCTGCAGAGTTTCAGGGGCCTAAACCCACAGCAGCCTCCCAGGGACTCTTTCAGAAAGCCCAGTTGCCCAGGACCACCACTCGCCCAGGGCCCCCACTCACCCAGGGCCCCCACTCGCACTCACCTTGGCTGTGAAGAGCCTCACGAGGAATCTCGATGTAGCTCTGCCCGTGGGCAGGGAAGCGGTAGTGAGGCGCGCTTAGCGTCCGGGACAGGACCTTGGCCACAGAGAAGTCTGTGGGAGGAATCAACAGAGGGACTGGGTCAGAGGCTCGTGGGCTGCAGGAAGGGAGCCGAAACCCCATCTTCCTCTGCTTCTCTGACCAAGCAAGCACTCTGGGGAGGGAGGGTGGCCTGAAACGTGTGTGTGTGCGTGTGTGCACAAAAACACACAAGCCTATCGGTCATTACTGCAGGGCCCAGGCCTCCAACCACACGCTAAAGGCAGCTCTTGGCTGGAAGGACCCGTCACCTGCCCCACAGCTCTCAGCTGTGTCTGTGGCAAGGGTGCACTATGTGAAGACCCCATGTGCTGGGTGGCTGCTGCTGTCCAAGCTCGAGGGACCCACGGGACATGGCAAATGGAAATGCCAGAGTCTGTCTTTAAGTAGCAGGCAGATGTCCCATGGGTAGAGGTGGACATCCTGGCTGAAGACGCCCTTGTGGGCTGGTGAGCTTCGGTGCTGAGGCCGGCTCCCGTGTGCTCCCGTGGGCACCATAAATCTTACAGAGTCAGAACGTGGATTGTGTCATCTGCCTGTGTAGGACCTGGCATGCGTCCCTGGGAAGCTGATCTGCTGACTCTGGGGCACCTGGTTTTGTCATTCATTCAGACACTGGCGGGAGCAGCTTCCCCACCCTCTCCTAAACCTAGGCGACCATGACAAGACACAGCGCCGTGACAACCTTCACGCACATCACGACCAAATGCCTCTGCCTGGATCCGAGCACGCATTTCCCTTGCAAAGGCAGCACGGTCCACCTCAGCTCACGTGGGGAGAACCACCACGAGCCAGCGCCCTGCACCCTCCCTGCTCCACATGTGCAGCCTTGCCAGCCAGTGACAGCTACCTGCCATGGAAGAGGAGCCCTCGAGGGTGACCCAGGGCTCTCTGGGGTGCAGGTTGGAAGATATGTGACCCATGACAGTGTCGATGGTGTCCATCAGGCCTGGCACCACGGCGCTGTCCTGCAAGCAACACAGACATGAAAGAGCTGTGATGGCCGTGCTCCGTGATTGCGTGGGAAGGGCACACAGAGCACCCCAAATCACACTTCCCGACCACAGCCACAAGAGGAAAGTCACCACACCCCACTTTACAGTTTGGGAGATGGCCAAGGGCCTGACGAGTTCATGGAGCGGGGACACAGGTCAGAGCTGACTTGAGGGACAGACAGGCCAGACCTGGTCCTTGCCCAACTCTGAACCCTCCGAGGGAGCCTGGTAAGTCTGGGGCCTGTCCCTCTGTTTCACAAGCAAGGGGGCTGATGACCCTGAGTCCTCCCAACGTGAAGACACCAGCAGTTCTTTGTGAAGGGGAGGCTGCTTTGGAGGAACCAGCACCCCAAATCCCATCTGGCCTCCTTGATGCCCCCTCCGAGGACCCTCTTCATCTCCTCTGCATCCCCAGAGCAGAAAGGACCCCCCAGACACACACACAATGCTGCCTGGTCCCTTTTGGTCACATGTGTTTCTGCTGTCAGCTCAGGGCTGACCATCCAGGTCACCTCTCGGTCACAGGAGAGGATGAGGGCCTGCCTCAGCCTCCCCAACTCTGAGCCTTGGCCTGTCTTCCCTCTCCTCTCTCCTCCCGCCTCTCTAGACGTCTGCCTCTGAGCCCTCAGCATTCTCTCATAAGTCCACGCTCCAGGAGAGCCTAATGAGCTGGAAATAGAACACAGAGGCCAATTTTAGACATCGTCTTTTAGGCTCATGGCCTGATTTCAGTCAACTGAACCCAGTTACACACATGAGGATCTGTGTCTCTGGCATACACTTCTGTTGCACATTAGAGCTGGCTGAAGACCAAACGGTTTTGTGATTATTCATACTTTGCAGCCAAAAAGAAGTTAATTTAAATTGGTGCAGAAAACCCATCTGCCTCGAGTCCCCCACCGGCTGCTCTCCCACCATTCCCCAGGCTGCAGCCTTGTACACGACGCATGTCCCTTTGAAATCACAAACCCTGGAGGGCTGTGCTTTCTGAAAAAGAATCTGTTTCTGGGTAGGACTGTGTTTTCTTACATTCTAGGCCCTTCTCATTCCCTTTGCCAGGATCCAACAGTCTTACTTTATTTGAAATTGTGCAAATCAAAAGCTGCCACGGCCTTGTTAATAGGAAGGGAATGAGTGTGTCTCTGCCTCTCGGGCTGCAAAACACCGACACGCTGCTGGGCTGGGCCCTACACGGCCATGGCTCCTGGGAGCCCTCACCACCTCCACCCTTGCCGGCAACCCAGAAGCCACGTGCCATCCAGGCAGCTGCAGATGGACAGAGCCAGGGTCACTGTGTGGACAGGAGGCTCCTCTGACCCACACCAGACTCTAGCCAGCGATGTGGGGCCCTGTCGTTACTGCAGCATAGCCAAGCCTGGCCTGACTAACACGGTGTGCAGAAGAACAAGCAATACCTCCAGGAGTGTTCTGGACAGAAATAAGGAGAACAAGCCAGGTGCCCATAGCTCATACCCATACTCCTAGCTATTCAGGAGGCAGAGATCAGGAGGATTGTAGTTTGAGGCCAGCCCTGGGCAAAGAGCTTGAGAGAACCTATCTCAAAAATATCCAGCATAAAAGGGGCTGGTGGAGTGGCTTAAGTGGTAGAGCACCTGCCTAGCAAGTGTAAGGCCCTGAGTTCAAACCCTGGTATCATTTAAAAAAAAAAAAGAATTAAGGAAAACAGGGTCAGTTGTGCAGTGTTTGTAGAATATACATAAATCCACGGGAGTGGAAAACTAGACTATAAATCCATGAGCCATGCTTTTCGTGTTTCAGTCCCCAGTCACGAGGCGCGCTGTGCTCTAGCTTCGTGCTTCTCTCTGGTTATCTTAAACACCAAGCATGCTTCTTATCAGTACTCAGGAATGATGCCTTGGCAAAAAGTAAAAAGCACCATTATGCAACATGGCAGACAAAGGTCAACGCTTGTGAGGAAACCGGCCGCTTCCTCTCAGAGCACAGGACGCGTGATAGCTGCTCACAGGGTCCCTGCACCAGCGGAACACACAGAACTCCGCGCCAGCTGATGGCAGGCAAAGCGGATGTCAGAACCGGCTAAGCGACGCCTGGTCTCTCAGATAGGTGTGGGTTCCCCGGCAGGATCGAAATGTGCTCTTCTCTTACCTCCGACACGTGGGTCCAGCTGGGCAGGAGAAGAACCTTGGCCACGGTTCTTAAGAAGGTCTGAAGGTGGACGAAATGACACTGGTTAGCATGCGCGCCTCCTCTAGCCTCGGCTCCAAACCCTGCTGCTCCCCGTATCTCCCAATGCGACCCCAATGGCTGGGTTTGCACCCAGTGGGAAACAGTGACAATCGTCAGTGTCTTACGGGTGTCCTTCTCACCTGTGGCCCAGGACAGCTCTGAAAAGCGAGCGGCCAGCATGTGGCCATCAGAGTGAACCCTGCTCAGCTGTGGCAGGAGCCCTCGCCCAGTCCCTGGGGACACAACGGGCTCTCAGCCAATGCCTGCTGAATGGAGGGATGGAGGTGAAAACCCGTGGCCTGTGAAATGTGCTTGGAGTGAGAAGCCAGGCCTGCGTCAACTCACTCGTGTTAGCTGGAAATTGCATCTCTGTAAAGCAGAAGTTTCCCGAGCCCCTCGGCCAGTCACCTTAAAACACGTTTGCTTTGGCTCAGTAATTGTTCCAAAAGTAAAACGAGTCTCCAACACTGAGAGACTTAAGTGAAAAAATACAGATCTCCTGTTTCTTTTGAAAACAGCAGAAGTTCAGACACTTCTCAGCCCACACTCCCACGTGACCACAAAACTGAACACGGTTCCCCAGTTCGCCCTGGTCCCCACCTCTCTCTACTGCCCCACTTGTCCATGTTACTCATTTCTACATGTTCACCGGAGCTAAAGAGACCTTCGTCAAAATCTGTACATCCCGCAAACTTCCATGTCCACACAAGTCACACCCTTCCTCCCTTCCAGACACGAAATATTCACACAACACTTCACCACGCTCCTCGCTTTTTAAAGACCCTAAAATGCAAGACCTGAAGAACTAGTGACAGGCAATGACCTCTGCCGTCACAGGGTGGGAGCTGTTTCTTAAAGGACCACGCAGTAAAGACCTCAGGCTCGGGCTGGTGGAGTGGCTCAAGTGGTAGAGCACCTGCCCAGCAAGCATGAGGCCCTGAGTTCAATCCCCAGTGCCACAAAAAAACAAAAAAACCCAGGCGTGAGGCTTCCTTTGCAAACCTGGAGGAGATGAGCGTAAAGTTAGGATGAGGTGACTTTGAGAGCTCGCTCTACTCTGCTGCTGAGCTGCGAGCCATCGGTCCCCCAGCCCCAGTCCCCACCTACTTTTCTTGTCTGGCCTCTAGAGGCATCTGGGTTCTCAGTCTCTGACACTGAGGTTTAGCCAAGGGACGAAGGGGCCCAGTGAGCAGAGAGGAAGTCGCCAAGCTTAAGGAGGAAGTGCTCCCTGTGCAGATCTACATCCGATCTCTGCTCCCGTCACACATCCCTTGGAGGGAATGGATCTGTCTGTGCCTCACAGCACACACTCTGTCCTCACTACACGTCCTGCAGCGCCACTGGGCTCAGCAGAGCAGCCCCACAGTCTTGTCCAGAGTGATGACTGTGTGGCCTGGCCTTTGTCCCCGCTTGCTCTGCTGTCCCATGTCGCTCCACACAGCAGCTCTTCCTGCAGCTCTGCAGCCCTTCAGTGGCTCCCCACCGTGCACAGCTCTCGGAAGCCATGGTTGCACCTGCCACAGTCACACATCTACCTGCCCACACCAGGGCACCTTCCACCTGAGGACCAAGGGTCGCAGGGCTATGCCATGAGTGGGCTGAGGGTCAGGGGTCTCACCATGTATCCCAGATCTGCCCTGGGCAGGACACAGACTTCTGGAGCCAGCACTCCACAGACAGCGTCTCAGAGACACACTCAGGCACTATGTGAGGGCAGAGGCAAGGCCAGGCTCACCCGTCATGCATCCCAGCGCTGGACACGGGGCAGCGGCACAAAGGTGCTCACTAATCAGAGAGCCCGTTAGACCATCCATCTCACAGAGAGCTCAGCCACCCACAGACAGGCATTCAACACATGTATTTCTAATTAAGTGACTGATCAACCTAACCTCCCTCCTTCCCTTGACACCCAACTAAGCGCCTCCTGCATGCATCTGGAGAGACTTCACAGTACCCACTGCTAAGAGGGCAGGGCATTAGTACTCAGAGTGGGTGTTTATTATGCACCACTGCATACAACGCACCAGCTGTCACCTTGGAGACTAGCTCAGTAGTTCTTATGAAGCACTTACTGTATACCACACCCTGTCCCGGTGCTTCACACACGATCCCCCACTGATGTGAATAGAAACCTAGAGATTGCCAGAATTTGGAGATTTTTTTCCACCTAACCCCACCCATCCATCTTGTGGGACCCAGGTGGCACTGGCAGCCCCGCCCACCCAAGAGCTCCTTTCCCATTAGTTAGACCTTTATGCCAATTCTGCTCCCCTTGACCCGTGATTGGTCTAGGTGTGGTCACGTGACCCAGTTCTGACCAATCAGATTGTGTGATTGTGGCATCATTTATAAGGCTTCTGCCTTATAAAGAGGAGCTACTTGTCCTCTCATCCTGGACTCCAGGAGATGGTCTCTGGGAATGGCTAGGTTGTGGGACACAGCACAGTCAACGTTACAAGACCAGTGGACAAGGCGGCCCTCCCGCCCAGCTCACCTGGCAGCTGTCCCCACCAGCCAAGCACATGGGCACCGTGGTCCCCCTGCTGCTGGCATAAGCCCTGATACCACAGCATAGGCAGCAGCTGAGGACGGGTGGCCCGATCTCTCCATGCCCTGGGGAAAACAGGACCAGGCTGGTCCCTCTCCAGAGTCCAGCGTTCAGCCCCCAGCGCTCACCCCTCAATAGGACTTTTCCCTATGACCCCTCAGCCGCGAGCCTCTTAAAGCCAGCATGGTTCTTGGTGATGCGAACCCTCACAAGCTATGTGTTCTGAGAGTGCGTGAAACCCTAGGCGTCTGACTTGCTCAGGAAAGCAAATGGAAGCCTCCTCCACCCCACGGTGTCTCCCTCTGTTCCCCAAGCCTGTGGGCTGTCGTGTGTCTCCTTGGGTGTGTCTTCAGCGAAGAAACCTTCAAAAACTTTGAAAAGTGCTTGCCATGAACCAGACACTGTTGTATGCACAAGGAAACATTCAGTCACCAGCAGGTGGGCACTGATGTCACCTCAGACCAGCCGGGTGAGGCCTCTGCCTCACCATTACCTGACGAAGGGCACAATGTCGGTACCCAGCAGAGCAAAGGTCAACCCCATGCTTGAACTCCATAGCCCTGCTCTTAAGCCTAGTCTGTACTTTCAAAGGGAGCTGGCACTGAAACACATCTTCTCTCCCTTGACACCAGCCAAGAGCCCTAGCCCTAGCCTAGTCTTGTCCAGCCCACAAGACCCCAGAATCCCCACCTCTTGTTCCTGCTGGAAAGAATTCTGAGGAGTAGAAAAGAAACCTCTCAATACTAATGAAGTATGTCCCTGTAATCACTCTCTCGGAGCTCTTTGTGAAGACCGTGGTCTGTGACCTCTGTCTAAACCTGTCAAAGACCACTCCATGTGTCATCCAAGATGCAGCAGAGGTGAGACCAGGAATCGCAAACCCAAATGCCTCCAGCAGGCACGAGAATGGACCGGGCAAGCCAGACGTTGGGAAGATCAAGTGAGCACTGAATTCCCAGCTCCGGGAGGCGCCATCCAGCCTCGTAGAGCTGCTCCCAGTGGCACTCCACCTGCTCGTTCCGGAGAAGCCTGGAATCTACACTTTTATCCAAGGCTCCTGGGATTTTTAACTCCGTAGGCTGTGGTCTAACCTTGCACCGGCCCTCGTCCGTCAGCCCCAGGCACACAAGGGCTTTACCTCGGTGAGATTCAGGGCTGTTTCCTCCGAGAGGGATTTATTGGGCAGGCTGAGGGGCACGTTTTGAAGGTAACGCAGAACGGTCCTGGGCCTTTGGAAGTTTTTTCTCTCTTCTGTCAGGTTCGTGATGATGGGATGGTAGGCATCTGTTGGCGTCTGAAAGACAGTGGCCACATGACTTCCCCGTGAGAAGTAAAGCCAGGACATTCTACAGCTCAGTGTGTCCTACTCTGGGTTAGAGGCTTTTTATCCCATGGTAATATTTATGATATAGCACTTCAATTAACAGTTTGCATAGAATAGCATTTCATCTGTACGGCCACCTTATGAAAGAAGGGCCCATTTGAGAGATGAAGCAAAGCGGGGCGAGGTAATGGTAGAACCGGGGCTTGAACCCAGGCAGACACTCCAGAGTCCACGCGCTCACCTCGGAAGATCTCAAGCTAGTGTGAATGGGAGGGCTGAGCATCGCGGCAACATCAGTGGCCCTTTTCTCCTAAGACCCTCCCTCACTTGAATGCATCTGGAGTTACTGGCGACAGAAGCCAGGTGTGTTCTTTCTCCAGGCGTTCTTGGCACCACGAATTACTCTTGAAGTTGGTATCCCCTCCATCTCTAATTTCTTCCCAGACATTACAGTGCCAATCGGACAGAGCCCAGACTGTCTAATGGAGTTCAGGCCTCCTGGCACACAGCCCAAGCAGAGACAGCAACGAGAGAGGGTTGTTATGGTTTGGATACAAAGTGTTCCCCCAGATCTCATGTGTTGATGGCTCGGTCCCCAGCTGGTGGCACTGAGGGGTGATTGAATGTCATCATTGGTTGATTTCATGAACAAGTTTTTTGGGAGCCTGGCTGGAGGAAGTGTGTCCCTGTAATCTCTCTCTCTCTCTCTCTCTCTCCTCTCTCTCTCTCTCTTCTCTCACTCTTTGCTTCCCAGCTACCGAGGGGAGAACAGCTTTCCTCCACCATGATGTTTTAGCCTTACCTCAGGCTCACAGCAATGGAACCAGCTCACCGTAGACTCAAATCCCTGACACTGTGAGCCAAATGCGTCCTTCCTTCCGTCCTCCCTTAACGAATCGTGACTAACCCGTGAGGCCAAAAGAAAATACACCTGCTCACCATGGCGCTTGCCGTGGGTGTCGTGAAGAAGCTTGGCGGTGTTGAAGACAACAAAACATTTTTCCCTGGAACAAATAAACAAGACTTCAGTACAGGCTCACCGCTGGTCACCTGTGCCACCCGAGGAAGGTCTGTCCTTAGTCAAAGTTTACTAGCTCGAGACATGTCTAACAGAGGCTCTGAGGCTTCAAGCGCTTTGAGTAGGCAGGCCACTGGAAAGACGAACAGCTAACAAATCACATTAATAGGAAGATTGTGTGGATTTTCCCGGCTTAAATTACTTTTCCATTTCTGTTCTGAATTGTTTTAGAACACCCGTCATGTAAAATGATGATTTTATGCAAGCTATTGCCGATTTTAAATAAGTAGTGAAAAGGAGGCATCAGTTTTATTCTAGTTCGGTTAGAGATAGCATACAGAGTGTGGTTACTGCCCCGGCTGGGACAGGCCCTTCCTCTGAAAGAGATGCAACAAGACTGGATCCCAAAAAAAGCAACGAAGGAGACCACCTCTGAGCCCCTTCCATCCCCAGGAGTCCAGGTACCCTTTCTACTGAAGACTCCATATGGTTATTTCTGAGTGATTTCAGATATTGAAGATGTTTAAGACCAAAGAGGAAACCATGAATTTGGTGCTCTCTGCCTGTTCCCCACCAACTAATTCTACTATCTCTTCGTGGAGCCTGGGGTGCACTGGGTACCCGACTTCATTTTTGGGAAATATCTCAAGGTTGCTTTGGCTGATCTGAGAATGTGACATCGTCACCCTCGCTGGCTCAACAGTGACTGGCCCCTGGGCTTTGGGTGGGGGGCTGGGTGGCTGTTGATGTAGACACTGATGGGAGAGGTGGACCCCAAAACCACCTTGTTCTACAAGTCAGAGTGACATTCCTTCCTAGAGAGCAAAGGAGTTACACAGCAGTCATGTCAAACTCACATTAATTCATGTGAGGTCACAAAATACAGGGTAATTAAAATCACCCCTGTACGTGGTGACTGCGTGAGGCAAAGAGGGGAACTGGGACTCAGCGTGTCCTGAGTCTGGCTCTGCCCCATGGGACCTTACCATGTGAGCATCTGGCAGATGGAGTGTGTGCCTGGCAAGCATAGATGCTTGCTTTCAAATCGCGTGGCTCTGAGTACAGCTACTTCTGCCTCTCTGAAGGGGAAATGCTACCCATTCCAGTGGCGGGGTGGAAACCTGGATGGGGTGACAGACCACCAACACTCTGCCTTTCTATAAAGACCACCCCATCTGGACAGATGTCAGCAAATTACCTGCTCCAGCTACCAGAATTGGAATAGGGTGCCCCCCTCTGGATAGGGAACTTGGAGAAACGCCCTCTCTTCCCCGGCAGCCCCAGCATAGCTGCTGAAGGATAGGTTCCACCTGTTCCTGTGGCCTCAGGGCCACCAGGTTGGATTTTAGCTCCAACCATCAGTCTGTGCACAGCTGCCCTGGCCCAGCTGTATAGGGGCAGCTCAGCAAGGGCACATCAGGCCATACTGATGGGATCCTGATGGCCCCAGGTCTGGCTCAGGACTGAACAGGACATGTAAGTGTGAACAGAGCCACTCTCCTGGATCCCCCCTCCCAAAAGAACCAGACCTCACCTTCCACAAGTGTGAAGAGCCAGAGAGGATCTGAGCCCAGAGAGACCATGTGTGGGGTTTTCTGTGACAACTCTGAACCAGAACCATTGCATCTTTTGCCAATGTCACTAGAACAGCAAGCTGTCAGGAAAGCAGATTGGTTTTTGAGATAAACAACACCTTGGTCTCAAAGTGATAACTCTGAGTCCCAGGCAATAAAAAGGAGTAGATTGATGTCATTGTTCCTCCTCCTGAACACACTGTCCCTTTTGTCACTTCTGTGAAAGTGAGGGAGTTCTACTTTCCTGGAAGACTGCAGTGTCCAAGTCCTCACTGGACATGGACGGCTTGTCTGCGTGGCCTCTGCTCCCTCTTCTAAGGCTGGCACCTTGATTATGCTTGGGGAGCCCCTGTCCTCCAGTCTTTTGGATGAGGCTGACCTCCTCGCCCTGTCAAGGGTGGACTCTGACCCAGGAACAGCCACCCAGCATCACCTACAGTCTAACCACAGCAACTAATGGGGACAATAAGGTGACAAAAAAGACAGTCTCCCTCTTTTCTGCTGAGGTCACTGAGGGGAGAGGGTGTGGCCCAGAAGGAAGGCAGTGTCCACACTGGTACCTGGTGACATCAATTGGGACCTAGGCAAATTCTCCCTCTTGGCTGAAGAAGCTTTGAGTTGGGTCTTCTTTCACACAGTCAATGGTGTCCTGACAACCGAGGGACTTAGGCTGGGACCTGGAGAAGGGTGGGCCAGGCTCTTGGGACCCACACTCTTTGTCTCCTCGCGCTGACCCCCCTGCTGCTCTGGGTGTTTGTGAAGTGTCCTCATGGTGTCTGTCGTTGCTCGGCAGCTTATTCTTTGTGGAAGTAAAGAAGCGGTGCATTCACTCGTGGGCAAAATGAAAATGGAATTGCGAGGGAAAGGGGATATTAATTTTGGAAAGAGCTAAGGTTCACGGCCAGGCGTGTGCTAATGGGCGTGCACACCGTGTCAGGTTTTCTCTTCACAACACCCCCAGGAGAGGGGGCAGGACAATTTTCACCACTTTTAGGGGAGAAAGCAGTGATTTGAGATAAAGGCAGGGGAAGTCATACGGTACGTGATTCCATTTGTGTGGACTAGACGGAAAGGGCAGGCCCACAGAGACAGCAAGCAGCTCCGTGGTTGCCAGAGGCTGTCGGGAGGGGAAAATGGTGGGTGCTTACTCAAGAGGTCTAGAGCTTCCCTCAGGAAAATGAAATGTTTTCAAAATAGAAATAGTCGTCACCCTGTAAATTTACTAAACGACACTAAATTGCTCACTTTGAAGTGGTTAAGTTGTCATATGAATTTTACCTCGATGTTTTTTAAAGTACTAGGGTTTAACATGGTGGCGTGAAGATTTGCACCCCAGGCCACCTGCCCACAGGTGAATGACTGCTCTGTGTCATTCACAGAGGGGGCTGGATGGGTCCATCCGAGAATCTGGTATGTGGAAGGCATTTGTTGATCAAATATGCTAATGGATGTGGAGTGTCTGCATCCAAAACCTTCTATAACCATCCATCATAGACGCCGCAAAGCCCGTGAGACTCAGAAGGAGGATATTAATCTCAGTGTCACTGGTGAATGGTTAACTCGTTTATCTCAGGGAACAGGTGTTCTGAAAAATGTATTTATCCGGCTCATTAGGGTCCATCTCACACCTGCGGTGTTGACTGCCATGACAGGACACTGACAGAGGAAGGGGCCTCCAGAAACAGACCCCGTCCAGCCCAAAGCCTTCACCCTCACTGACCAATGGCAGCCGTGAAGTACATCTCAACCTCGTCCGGAGTCAGCGCCCGCTCCCAGACGATGAACTCGTCAAAAGCTCCATTCTCGTAGCGCTTGGTGTGGTCCTGCTCGGATCCTATCACCAGGTTGACGTGGGGCTCCCCGTAGGCATGAGACACTTTCCCGCTGGGGTCAGAGGTACTCAGGGTTCCGTTCACATACACTTTCAGACCCTCCTTGGATTTCCAGGTGAACAGGATGTGAGTCCAGTAGGGACCTGGAAGAGAGCAGTGGCAGCCATTCTGAGCACACCAGGAACAAACGCTCCCCTTGTGTTCCTGGTTTCTCCGCACATCTCTCTTCCTGATGATCGGTGACTGTTGACTTTGGGGAGCCTAATACAGCCCATAATCTAAACCTGACTTTCACCTGTCCTTTGGAGCACAGAAATTGCCTTTTTTGCTTCCATCTCCCCAAATTCCAAAAGTTGGTCCAAAAGACCCCTATGATTTTTACCTTCCAGTAACAAATTCAAATGCCTACAAACGAAAGTGGTAAAATTTTTTTTAAAAGGCAGGACACAAGCATCGACCAATCTGACCCCGAGCCCAGTTGAAAAAATCAATATGGTCAGGAACAAAGCAGGGAAGTCCTCCTCTCACAAGTCCTTTCAATGTCACACTGGCCGTCCTCTCTAATACAAGAAGGTGAAAAAGAGAAAAAAATGCACATAGCTCAGGAAGGACACAATGAAATGATATTTGTTTGCTGATAACATGATTGTCTATGTGGAAACCCCAAATGAACAATAATTTAAAAAACTGATTTACATATCCTGCTGCCTCCATCCCTGCAGTTGGAGACAGTAGGATCACCAGTTCAAGACTAGCCTAGGCTACGTGGCAAACACTATCAAAAAAAAAAACAAAAAAAACCCAAAACTCCTATAATAAGTGATTATAGCAAGATTGAAGAACATAAGGCTAGCATACAAAACTCCATTGCCTTCCTATATACCAGCAATGAACAGTTGGAATTTGAAACAAAAAAACACATTGTCATAGAAAAAGAAAGAAAGAATAAGCTACACACTCAGGAATAATTGTAACAAAATGTGCAAGATTGAGGAAAACCACAAAATTGATGAGAGAGATTAAAGGAGAACTAAATAAATGCCAAGATATCCCATGTTCATGGAGAGGAAGACTTAATAGTGTCAAGTTTCATCTTAAATTGACCTTTACAGTCAAAGCAATATCGTCAAGCAAAATCCCAGTAAGTTATTTCATGGACAGTCACAAACTGATTCTAAAGATTCTGAATTTTAAAGTTATGGAAAAGCAACTACCATGAAAAGCCATACAGAATTAAAGGAGAAAAACAGAGTTGAAGACTGACACTACCTACCCTCAAGACTTAATAAAAAGCTTGATTTTTATTAAGGTGGAGTGGTACCATGGGGCATGGTGGGGAAGATGAACAGGTCAGTGGAACAGGACAGACAGCCCAGAGAGAGAGCAACACAATATGGTCTACTGACACCGGACAAAGGAGTGAAGGGAAACGACAGGGCAATGGTCATCTTTTCAATCAATGGTCGAGAACATCTGGAAACTCGAATTTGCAAAAAATAAAAATAAATAAATCTAGAGCTAGACCTCATACTCACAAAAAGCAATTCCAAGTTGGTGATAGGTCTATAAAACTTCTAGAAGTAAAGGAGAAAATCTGGATGGCCCAGGGTTCATGGGTGACTTTTTAGCTACAATACCAAAGGCACAATCCGTGAAAAAAACAAGTGATAAGTTTGACTTCATTAAAACTAAAACCTCTGCTCTGTGAAAGAGGCAGTCCTGAGAAAGAGATGAACAGCCATGGCCTGCGAGAAAATGTTTACAAAAGACAAAATAATGAGCACCGTTATCCAAAATCTACAGAGAACTCTTCAAGCTCAACAACAACCCACTTAAAAATGAGCAAAAGATCTCAACAGACATCTGGCCAACCCATAGAAAGTGGACCCCACATGGACTATGCTTGGAACAAGTGCCTCTTTTGGGAAAAGATGTTGAGAGTAGGAGCAGGTGGGCAAAGGCCGAGGTGAGAGGCTCGTGGGAACTCTCTGTTCTTTGCAGTTCATTTTGCCGTGGATCTAAAAGTCATAAAAACTGATGTCTTTCAGCCTCTTCAACAAAAACTGCTGGGAAAACTGGTTAGCAGTCTGCAAAAAACTGAAACTAGATCCATGTATATCACCCTATACCAATATTAACTCAAAATGGATCAAGGATCTTAATATCAGACCCCAAACTCTTAAGTTGATACAAGAAAGAGTAGGAAATACTCTGGAGTTAGTAGGTATAGGTAAGAACTTTCTCAATGAAACCCCAGCAGCACAGCAACTAAGAGATAGCATAGATAAATGGGACCTCATAAAACTAAAAAGCTTCTGTTCATCAAAAGAAATGGTCTCTAAACTGAAGAGAACACCCACAGAGTGGGAGAAAATATTTGCCAACTATACATCAGACAAAGGACTGATAACCAGAATATACAGGGAACTTAAAAAACTAAATTCTCCCAAAACTAATGAACCAATAAAGAAATGGGCATGTGAACTAAACAGAACTTTCTCAAAAGAAGAAATCCAAATGGCCAGAAAACACATGAAAAAATGCTCACCGTCTCTAGCAAAAAAGGAAATGCAAATTAAAACCACGCTAAGATTCCACCTCACCCCTGTTAGAATAGCCATCATCAACACCACCACCAACAACAGGTGTTGACGAGGATGCGGGGAAAAAGGAACCCTCTTACACTGCTGGTGGGAATGTAGACTAGTACAACCACTCTGGAAAAAAATATGGAGGCTACTTAAAAGCTAGACATCGATCTACCATTTGATCCAGCAATACCACTCTTGGGGATAGACCCAAAAGACTGTTACTCCAGAGGCACCTGCACATCCATGTTTATTGTGGCACTATTCACAATAGCCAAGTTATGGAAACAGCCAAGATGCCCCACCACTGACGAATGGATCAAGAAAATGTGGTATCTATACACAATGGAATTTTATGCAGCCATGAAGAAGAACGAAATGTTATCATTCGCTGGTAAATGGATGGAATTGGAGAACGTCATTCTGAGTGAGGTTAGCCTGGCCCAAAAGACCAAAAATCATATGTTCTCCCTCATATGTGGACATTAGATCAAGGGCAAACACAACAAGGAGATTGGACTTTGATCACAAGATAAAAGCGAGCGCACACAAGGGAGGGGTGAGGATAGGTAAGACACCTAAAACACTAGCTATCATTTGTTGCCCTTAACGCAGAGAAACTAAAGCAGATACCTTAAAAGCAACTGAGGCCAATAGGAGAAGGAGACCAGGAACTAGAGAAAAGGTGAGATCAAAAAGAATTAACCTAGAAGGTAACACCCACGCACAGGAAATCAATGTGAGTCAATGCCCTGTATAGCTATCCTTATCTCAACCAGCAAAACCCCTTGTTCCTTCCTATTATTGCTTATACTCTCTCTACAACAAAATTAGAAATAAGGGCAAAATAGTTTCTGCTGGGTATCGAGGGGGTGGGGGGGAGAGGGAGGGGGCGGGGAAAGGGGGAAAATGATACAAACATTGTATGCACATGTGAATAAAAAAAATAATGATAATAATGATAACAACCATTAAAAAAAACCTGACATCTTTTAAGAACAACAACAAAGTGGTCGTCCAGCCATGCTGACAAACCCAGGCTGCCGAGGCCAGGGATGAGGTGAGAGCTGAGACCTGCCTTCCACGAGGACCAGGCCTCTGCTGACTGGTGCACCAAAGGGCGGTTGCCCCGTGTAGGGGACAGACACCCTCACCCTAACCACCGTTCACACTGGAGATTAAACCCCTGCTTACTTTCTTATTTCCAAGAGAAGATGGGAATTCTTCGTTTTAAAAATGAGATCAAAACTAATGGTCATGAGTCATTCAGAATATTCTTCCGACGTGGCCTGGGCGGTCATGGGGCAGGACCATGAAAGCATCTGAGTGCCCGACCCAGCCCACGGCCATCGCAGTCATCCTCAGCTCTGACACAGCACGTGTGACATGAGCCAGCACGGAGTGACGTGGTTAAGCGTGGCCAGCCTCCTCCTCCGTCAGGAACCTCTGCTGGCCTGAAAACCATGCCATCGACCAGAACAGCCCGCAGCACACCGTGGCAGCTGGCCACATCCAGGGTCCCCTTTGTTTTGTGGGCTCTGTTAGGACGTTCTGATGGGCTTGCAAGCCAAGGAACGGGGCAGCCCTTCTGAAGGACGTGCAGTGCCTCACCAGTCGCCCAACAATTACATCAGGGCTTCTTGCTCACGACTGTGCGATGTTCCAATAATTTTGAGTCTCTGGGGAACACTTGGGATGCTAAACAGGCCTGACTTTGAAAGTGACAATAACAAGTCCCTTCGATGTACAAGGGAAGAGCATAATTCCCGGCACAGATGTTTACAAATTTCCCCCTTCCCTGGGTGGACAAACAAATGAGTTTATCTTAACCCGTGTTCAAGTGCAAGGAACCTGCTAGGTGACATCTGTGTCGTCACGTCAAGGTGCATCGGGATGACAGCAAGCAGAACCTGGTGAGGACCACAGAGAGCGCTGTGTGGGACTTGGGATCCAGGCGGGCAAATTCCAAGTGTGTGCTCGCTCCCTTTTCCCGGTTTATGGAGGTGGAGGCAAGCTCAGGCCGTGCAAGTGCAGCCCCCGCAGAGCACGGCAGGCACCTGGACCCTCCGTGTCCACACAGCTCTTAGTTCTATTCACGCAGTCAGCTCTCAGTCTCCCCACACAGGGATGCTCTTATCCTTGAATTACGAATGAGAAACTGAGGTGTACGGTGATGAGGCAGGAAACCCCGGTCCGCGCTGCTGAGGCACAGAGCCCAGGCTACTTAATGAGTGAGCTCCTCAGTCTCCCTCAAATGGGCCAGAAATGGATTCCCTTAAATACGTCTAAGATATTGTGTCCTCTGGGAGGCCCTCCACCTCTGCCCTGCCCTTTCTGGTCCCCATCGGGGCTCTCCTTGCCCAAGCCCTGATCACCTCTCCCCTTCTCCGGGGTCTACCTCAGACCTTCCTTAGCCTCCCCTGGCTTCCTGTCCACATGCCGGGCCCAGCAGATGAACTCCAAGCCACAGAGACATGGAAAGCATCCAACCCCAGAACAGACTCAACCCCTCTGCACCAGCCCCTTCCTAGACACCAAGCACCCTCTCCCAGCAAGACCCCAGCAGCCTGCAGCCTCCCCTGCCTGCTCCCCGATCTGCACCTCGCTTCCCCACAGTTTTGCCCAACTTCAAGTCTATACCATTGGGTGCAAGGAATGAAGGGTGGACAGGAGGAAGAGAAGAAGGAGAAAGAGGAAGGAGAAGGAGGAAGGGGGGAGAACAAGGAGGAAGAAGAGGAGGAAGGGGAGAGGAAGCAGGAGGAACTTAACTACCATCTGCCCCCTGTGTGTAACTTCTGCTCCATCCCTGCCACAAGGGGAGCATTTGCAAAGTCCCCTCCATCCCACTGATGCAGAAACTGAGGCTCACATTTCAGCCAAGTGGCCTGGCCAAGCTCTGACATTAGTATGAAGCCACCTTGTCAAAAGCACATTTGTACCCTCCCCAGGACACATTGCCAAGCAAGCTCCTGATAGAACGGTGCTCGCTTGCTCATGTGTCACCCAGACTCACACAGTGTCCCATAGTCCCTGAGAGGAGCAGAGTTGGCGACCCAGGCCTCACCTGGCGGGCTGAAGGTGGCCTCCCATGTCATTGAGTTGTCCCTCGTGTACAGCTCCACGGAGCCTTTACCACCACTGGAGCAGACTTTGAAGCCATCAGAGATGACCTGTCCCCCGTAAGCAGAAGGAACTGGTCTGGACTGCTCTCCTTGTGTCTTCCAGAAGAAGGAAAATGTGACCCCTGAGGAGAGAAACAAGCAAGTCGGCTGGTGGAAGCATGGGGGACAGACAGACACACTGCTCAGGTGCAGAAAACACACACAGCAATGTCGAGTAAGGTTTGCTAGGGTTCACTTGGTGCCTGGAACTTTTCTCAGAGCTTGGCATGAGTTTCCCTCCTTTTGAATAATGCTACGTGACACAGAAGAAGAAACTGAGGTCAGCCTGCCGGAGGCCACCGGTCTAGAGACTGACCGAGGTCAGATGCAGACACAAGTGGGCTCCTGCCCCTCACCCCCAGGCGTGCAAATGTAAACACCTTCACCACAGCCTCCTTCCTCCTCCTCATCCTGCCAAAAAATCTCTCAGTAAATGCATTTTATCAAGAAAGGAACCGTCTCGGGCATACTGGTTTATAGGCAGCATTTTAAAACCATTTTTAAAAGCCGTGTGAGCTTCCTCCCATGTCTAAACACACTTTTACACTGTCCTTTTATGTCTGCACAGTGTTACATCCTAATGGGCCACAGGTTTTTTTTTTTAAAAACAACTCCCTATTGCCAAGTTGTAAGGTTTTCTTCAAATTTTTGAAGGAAGACTGCAAATAGAACCTGAAGCTAATTTTTTTTTTTTTTGCACATCTCAAATGATGTGCTTTTAGAATAAAATCCCAGGAGAGTGGTTCTTGTCAAAGGGAAAGCCCACACATCTAAGGTTTTTGACGTCTTAGGCTTTCATTTCCCACAAGGAAATGCACAAGGCGTGGAGGTGCCGGCAGCCAGTGTTTCTGCAAACGCCAGCTGCAGGTTGCTGTAGATCCAGCTCCAGGCCCCATGTTGAGTGAGCAGGTGTTAAATGGCCTGAGTGGTCTCTGGTGTGGTCGGTAATGAGCTGCATCACAATGGATGCGCCCCTGTGTCACAGGCATGGAGGGAGCACAAAGACCAGCTTCACTCTCAAGAGCAAAGACTGTCTTGCACGCACACTGGCCAGTCTGGACCTGGCTCCTCGCTCAGAGCCACAGTGACTCAGACCTGTTGGATTACGGACAGCCCTACGTGGCTCCGATCACCTGTAGTCACTTCCCCAGACACAATAGGCTCTGCCCGGCTCCCTTTCCTTGCGTGTAAGTAAAGTGTGCGTGCGTGCTCATTAAGCCAGTCACCTGCAGGAATCGGTGTGTGAGAGACGGAACTAAGTGAGGTGCCTGGCCCTTCCCCCTGGGCCTTGGCGAGAGGACTCCAAGATGGCTTTGCCCAGAGTTGGTCCAAACTGGCCAGGAGTGGGTAAGAGGGACAGAAGTTGGGGTGACAGGTGCCCTGGGACTTATTTACATGAATGGCACCAAGGCAACTTTAGCTCTCATCTTCAAATGAGGTTACAGACACAGTCTTAGAAGATGGCTGACCCCAAAGAAGGTAACTGCACGACTACGAAAACTGGTGTCCCATTGCCGGCCACCTCAGGACCATATAGCTGTTTGAAGTCCTTTGAGTGCCCTGTGACACACATACCGCATTTGACCTTTGTGGCGTCGAAGCCTAAAGTGATTGACATAAGCATGGAAAACATGGCGCCATTCTTACAACCCTGGCTTGAAATGTCCTCACTTTACTGCCATATATCAGAGGAACCTCAAGATTTTAAGTGTTTCCAACACAACAGAAAGAAGTAATGAATGTTCGGGATGACAGACGTGCCAATGACTCTGATCTGGTCGGCACGCGTGATTTTCACGTGCTGGAAGGACACACCGAACCCTGTGAGTCCGCACAGCTGGTCTGAGTCAATTAAAAATAAAGCCTGGATTTTAAAGACAGAAGCACCTCAAAATACTGGGAGGTACCTGGACCTCTGGGAGGCTCCAGGGTAGAATATAAGAATACCGGTGTCCAGTGGGCTGCCAAGGAAAGCAGGGCCCTCAGGTGCCGTGTGACAGGCTGCCACGGTGACAGGATGGACAGAGGGAGGTGGCACAGAGACTAGAGCGCAGCAGGCTGTAGTGTTCAGGAGCCACTGCCCTCAGTGCTGAGGGAGGAAGGGACACAGGGCCAGACCTCTTCCTTCCCCTCCTGGCTGCCCTGGCCTCGGGTGTTCCGGTGGTCAGAGGGAACCCAGCCTTCCCACCTGCCTCTCCACGCTCAGAGACGACCAGTGTCACAGAGAGACGCGCACACGGCGCCTTGTGAAAACTTCTTGTTGTGAAACGGTATTCCCACCAGTGTTCACACAAAAGTCAATTGTTTCCAAAAACTGCTGCTTTTAAAAATTCCTTTCACTCAGTTCAAACTGATCCTGCCTTGGCCAAATGTCTCTCTTCCCAGGAAGAAAAAGAAAAAGAAAAAAAACATCAACACAGCGTTAGGTACAGGGTAAGTGATAAAAACACACCTCTCTGAGGTGGGGCCACATTTAAAGCCAGTCTGTGTCTGAAGGCGGAGGACACTCAAGGATGGTTTGTGCAGAGCTCGGACTCACGAACTTGGATCGTTGCTTTTTCTAGGGGCGGTAATGGGTTTGAACTCAGGGCCTCATTCTTGCAAGGCAGGCAGGCACTCTTCCACGTGAGCACTCCGCCAGCCATGAACTCGGGTCGTTGGTACAGAGAGGAAGAATCTCAGGCGAAGGTAAGGCAACCATGGCAAATCGATTCCAAGCATTGCTCTGAGCAGAAACGAAGGCGAGGAGAGTCTTTCCCCAGAAGGCAGAAAAAACCCAAAAGTCACAAGAAATCACTGACAAGCTGATGTACCTCAGTATTACAGCATTCTGTGAGGCTGAAGATTTTATCACCATGAAACCAAAGGCGGATGACAAAAATGCTGCTAACACAGTGAACAGATAAGGAATGAAGTCCCTTGCTGTCTAGAGGGCATTTTAGAAAAAAAAAAAAAAAAGTGTCATTTCTCGCCCCCAGTGAGAACTTACCCTGAACAGGTGGACCCTTTCAAGACCTTCACACGTATTAACACTTCTCCTCCTAACAAAACCTGCAGTCATGGTTTGGGGGTCCAGGACCTGGTCCTCTTTGGGGGAGACACGAGTCAGCCTGCCCCAGCCTCTGCTCTGCCGATAGAGGAGCTGGCCTGCCACTGATCAGAGGTCCACATGGGCACCAGAGGACATGCTTGGACTGGAGCTGCTCCCTGTGCCAGAGGGGCAGGGTCCACCTATCAGCACTTGGCCCTGTCAGGTGTGAGACACACACACAAACCCAGCAGAGGGACAGGAGAGGGTCAGGGACCAACTGTCACCTGGACCCTGCACCTCAGAGGCACAAGAACCACTCACTGCTAGCGAGGCCAGTGGCCCCTCATTGAAACCAAAACCACGGAGCCCTGGGGAACACCAGCACGTCTCACAGAAGACGGTCGGAGTGAAGATCTGGGACCCCCCACCCCCGACACACGCACCAGAGTCCACTCGGAGAGTTCCGAGACCTAGGCTGAAACAGCCAAAGGGACACCGCCCAGAGCTCAGAAGTCCAAGTGTTTGGGTGAAGAAAGAATGACAATCTTTTCTAAAGACACCAGAATCCGGCCAAGTTGGACACTTCCAACGACCTTGCAATCTTCTTGGTCTGTGGTCTTCTACCTTGGACACACATAAATCCCCCATGTGTGCACAGTGCACACATGCATGCTTACTTGCATGTAGATAGAATACAGGCACACACACATGCACACAGGTGCACGCGTGCACACAAACACGTATGTGTAAGTGTGCACGTGCACGCACGATTGCACATAAGATGCATCTATACACATGGATCCGTGCGTGTGCATGTGTGCTCGCGTGTGTCCGTATGCAACACATGTGCAGACTCGTGTACACCTGTGTACGCTTGCACAATGCTCGTATACACGCGTGCAAGCATGGGCCCAAGACGACACTTGAGTGCATGTGAAGCTGAGTTAGGTCAGTGGGCCGTGTGGATTGTTGAAAGAGTCCTGCTTTGGATGCTGTACTTTGGTTGCATATGAAGCTACACTGGGGAAAACGGGTCAAGAGTACATGAGGTCCTCACTGTTTTTTTTACAACCATCGGCATAGTGACAGTCATCTCAAAATGGAAAGATTTTGGAAATATTTTAAGAAAGGAACAAGACTGCAAGTCAGAGGGACTTCCATCTGTCCTGGCTGGTTCAACGTCCAGTGTTACCGTAGTCTTAAGCGTAGACTTTGGACAGTTTTCGGGGGAGAGCAGTGCCTCAGTTTCTCCACTTTGCAATGGACAGGCGAGGTCCAGGGAACCTCCTGACTGGAGAGTGGGATTTCTGTCCACTGTGGCTTCTGCACACTGGCCTGAGGGCTGAGCCTCTACACCATCACAAAGGGGAAATGTCTAAGCAAAGCTGAGGGGAGGGGGTGGCATGGTGAGATGTCCTCCCAGCAGCTGCTGGGCCTCAGCAGATTCCTCTGGTTGCTTTATTGAAAAGCATTACCTTAACTAATGCAGCAATAAATCAGAAGTTGAGATGAAATGAAGCAAGAAGTAATCTGAGCAATTTGTACCCCGGTGCTGGGAGTGACCTTTAATGGATTTTTGTGGGATTTCATTTCAGTTACTTTATTTTATTTTATGTGGCAAAACCTTTCCCATGAGATCCACCCTCCGAGGCTGGTCTCTAGTAGACCATCAGGACCGTGGGCAGGAGAAGAGCCTGATTCACACAACTGCCCGGCAGCCCCTTGGTGGGGAGGCCCTGGAGGAGACCAGCCAGGAGGAGGACTGGCTGTTCGGTACCTGCACGGAAGCGTCCACCATGTGCCGAGCACCGTTCGGACCCTGGAGAGTCAGTGGTGGCCAAGACAGTCCTCACAGAGCCAGAGGCAAGTAAGGAGTCGTGACCAGCAGGGCCACCATCAACTCTGCAAGCAAGTCCTAGGCGGGAACTGCAGCGGGACCTGAGCACCTGGGACAGAGGCGCTCACCTGGCTGGAGCTCATCCTTGCCAGGGTGGAGCTGAGCCGAAGTCTGCAGGTGAACACAGCATCGCAGGGAGGCCCCTCCTACCTCCCTGTGTGCTCTCTGGTAGGGAGGAGCCAGTGGCTGACAGACCGTTCCCGGAGCGGTCAGTGTCCGAGTGTCTCTTCTCTCAGAAGGTCCTCAAAGGCTGCCCCCACCCAGCCTTTGACAAACCTCCCCAGAGGGCACCGTCGGCCAAAAGACAGCCCCACTGCAGGCTCTCAGGGAGAGGGAAGCAGGCCATGTAGGAGGAGAAGCAGACTCAGGTGGCAGAGCTTGGATGGGGACAGTAGCACAGGACAGGCGCCATCTCCATGTGAGAAGGGAGGGGACAGCTGGGTTTCTCAGGCGCTCGCTCCTTTGGAAAGCTCACACGTCAACCTTCCGTCCAAAACTTTCTTTTAGAAAATCAGTTGAAATAAGACGTAAGAGCAATGGACCTGTTGGGGCGGGGGAAGCATTTCTTTCTACTTAAATGTTGGTTTTATTAAAAGAATAATTTATCAGTTTGTGCCCGGCCAAAAATGTAAAGAAGGGCAGCTTAACATATCTTAAATAGCCAAGGTGTCTTCCAAATCTTAATCACTCACACCTTGTGTCATACCCGACTGCAACCTGAACTGTTATAAAGTATTTTTGTTAAATCAACCTATTTTTAAAGCAGAGATCAGGAGGATCACAGTTCAAAGCCAGCCCAGGCAAATAGCTCATGAGACCCTGTCTCAAAAAAACCCAATCACAAAAAATTGGGCTGGTGGAGAGGCTCTAGGTGAAGACTCTGAGTTCAAATTCCAGTTCCTCAAAAAACCCATAACCTTTGATTTCTGGTTGTATTTGCTCCAGCTGCCACCTGACGGCACTTCACACACCTCCCCACTCTGAGCATGTGAATTTGGAAAATGCTGGGCACATCTCCCTGTTTGGATCTTGTTCCTCTTGGACTCAGAAGTGCAAACTCGTGGAGGCCCTGGGAAAATCCACCCAAGCAAAGGACACAGTGCACAAAAGTGGGGGAGTAGGTGGTGGTCCTCATCACGACCGGCGCCCACCACTCTGCAAAGCTGACACCTAGCCTCCCCAGTGCTGGCATTAAGCCCCACACCACGTCATCCAGGAGCTGCCAGATGCAAGGAATTGTTAATGGAGTGGGGCCAGAAGCCAAGTTCACAGCTCCATCTACCTCTCCTTGCTCCTGTCTGTCTCATGTCTGTGAGGGTGAAATGAGTTAATTCATTTATCCAGATTGGACAATGACTGACACAGAGTAACAGATTAATTGCTGTCTCCATTACTGTGACTGGTTCAAGCCATCAGAGAGTCACCCCAAAGCAGGCAAATTGCTTCCTCATTAGAAAAAATATCCTAGTGAATAAAGAGAAGTTTGGGGTCTAGGCGCGGTGACACATGCCTGTCTTGCCAGCTATCTGGAGAAGCACAAATTGGAGGACCACCCTGGGTATAAAATGAAACTCTACCTCAACAGTGACCAACACAGAAAGGGCTGGTGGAATGACTCAAGCATAGAGCTCCTACCTAGCTAGAACAAGGCCCTGAGTTCAAACCCTAGTACTGCTGAGGCGAGGGGAAGGGAGAGAAAGGGAGGGAGGAAGAGGGCTCCCCATGGAGCCAGGAAGCTACCGGCCCTTCAGTCTTCACACACCCCACAAGAAAGGTACTTTGACTGACCTATTTTACAGATGAGGACCACTACTCAAAGCCATGCCTAGGGTCCCCACAGAGACAACCAGGCTGGGACCCAAGTGTCCTGGCCTAATCCATATCCATAACACTCTCTGGGGTCACCTTGCAAGATGCTAAGAAGACTCAGAGTGCATTGTGGGCTGTGACAGGGAGAAGACAGAAGGCACGATGTAATATAAACTACTTGAAATTTTCCTGGTTTTCAATGATGGTAGCTACTTTAAAATTTCAACCCCAATCCTGCCCAGACCAAACACGGTCACAGCCAGGGTCCACACACAGGCTTCCAGCTTGAGACTTTGGGGCCCAGGAGAACCTGTCTAGAAAATTTGACCTCCAATGGCCATGCTTCCCTCGGGTCCTGTCATGGGCTCCTTTCTGGGTTGGTCACCTGGGATAGTCCCATTTGTCAGACCCCCAGGGCCTGGTCATTCCCAGCCCCAATGGAGACAAACCCCAGCATGGCACGAGCTGCAGGGACACCCTTCTCCCCAGAGCAGCCCTCTTCCCTGGAAGCCAGAGGAAGTCGGGGAGATGTCCTGCCTTCCCAGGACCGAGGCTATCTGTCTCCTGGCCACTTTGCTGAGCCCAGGGTTGTTTTGAGCTCGGAGAAATGACCAAGTCTGGTTTGTTTTGAGGGCTGTTTGAACTCGGGGCCTCTCGGGCTGTGGGTGCTGACCTTAAAACTGTTCCACAACTTCTGGGCCCTGCAAAGTCCTAAAGGCAACCTCCCTCGTTCATTCATTCCCCCGGGGATGGAGCCTGTCTTCTGCAACCACGCGCGATTCACCTGTCGCGTGAGGGAGGCCACCTGAAGCTCAAGAGGCCTCAGAGCCTCACACGTTAAACTTTTCTCCCCTTAGAAATAAACATTTTCGTCATGTCTACAAGAAAATACTTGAAGGCCCCAGCTGCTGTGGCCAGCCGGGGACAAAGTCCCAGAAAGTTTCAAATGCAGCCCAGATGTGTGTCGTCTGCAGCCGGAGCCCAGACAGCAGATGGCTTCTGACGGGGAGCAGAGAGAGGAGTGGGTTCCGGGTTTCCCTTCCACACTTGCGTGCTTTGTACCCCTCACCTTAGCCACAGGCCTGCAAGCACTGGCGGGGACCCAGCTGTCCCCGATGGGCGAGACAGACAGAGAAAGCCGTAGGGGGTTAACAGGCACGCCCTGCAGCCCGGCCGCCAACATGCCGGAGCCAGAAATAACACGGTGGCAGCCACACCATCAATTTCCTCTTCCCACCAGTGCCACGGCCCCATCCCAACCCGGGTGACAGCACGGTGGCCGTTTAAAGGCGGGTCCTCCCTGTCCTGTGCGAGATTACATATTTTGATTCCACAGCTCTGGAAGATGATGTAGCTCTCTGTCTCCAGGATGTCTCCAGTCAGAATTCTTGCTGCCTGCGTCACCTCCCTTGAACTCCTATTTGACATTTTCCCTCCACAATTGATGAGAGCTCCATGTTCGCATCTGCCACCGGCCAGAGCAGCAGCTGCCACCCAGCGATGACGCGGTGCGTCACCGGTGCGGTGACACCGATCACTCACCCTCGGGGCCACACTGCGCCGGGTTGCTGATACAGGACGTCTTGTACCTGCCGTAGTACAGGAGTGTCACTCCCTTCTCCTCCTTGAGGTAAATGCCTTTGTTCACCTTCCCTTCCACGATGTCTAAGCAAGGAAAAGGACACGATTAGTCGCCTTCGAGGCCGGAGAGCCAAAGCCCCAAGTCAGACTACAAACACCTCACGTCTCAGCGCAGTCTCTTCGCGAGACGGCGTGTAGAGTTTCATATGTTAGCCTTCAATATTAACAGCCTTAGTCAATATTTAATTCTTCGTGATTAAATGACAAATAATTTATAAGTTTAAGTGTTAGGTGATCAATTCTTACTGCTGTTGTCAGATTAGCCTATCGTGTGCACAATAATGGGATGTAATTTAACTATCATATCCGCCACCAAGAGTGAGATGATGGTAGTCCCCCGGCCACCCTAATGACAAGAGTGCCACATGCTTCAGGGGTCCTTCCTGCTTCACCCTCATTCGGAATTCTGCACCTTTAGTTACGGGAGACTGTAAAGTCACAAGTGAGCCTCTTTCGTCCTGAGTTCTAATCCTATGCGGCGTGTTCAGACCTGCAAGGACACCACAGTTTATATTCTGCCAGCTCAAGGAGGGCCTGCCAACTGCAAGACCCGGTGGCCATAAATCCTGCCATCTTGTTGTTCCCGTTCCCATAGCCAATGTGTCTCGGGGCGAGAGCGTGTGGGTGAGTGAGGACTACCAAAGCCACAGTCGTGAGCCTGGATTGTCCACTGCGGTCAGGGTGCTGATACCTCTGCTCTTACGGAGGGCTGGGGAGGGGACGTGTGTGCCCTTGTAGCTATGGGTCCAGAGCCCAGGCAGGAGCTGCAAAGCCTTTTGAAGCGACACCACCCAAGTCGCCTTTTTAATCCCACTGTCCTGTGCACAACCCCTGGAGGACCTCAGCGCTTATCCATTATTTTTGCTTACTGTGTCCCTTGTCAGGGAGATCTGTATCTCACAACGTTAAATGGATAACGAGCAGTTACATAATTGAGTTAGACTGTATGAACCCCTAAGCTGGACTTTTTGTTTGGTAAAGTTAATTGTGGAAGTCAAAAGCTCCACAGCTGAAAGAGCAATTGGTCAACATGCTAAAAAAAAAAAAAAAAAAGGCTGGGCTGTGTCTACGAAGCAGCTTCCTACATCCATCAAACAAATGCCACAATTACTGCTGTCCCTTTCCATTTGAGCTGCACAGAGAAAACACGGACCACATGGGCTCTGGATGCTGATAAGGAGGACAGACAGCGATCTCATCATGACTCTTGGGGGGTGGGGGTGGGGGGGTCTCTAATGAGTTGCTTCAATCCAGCTGCAAAAGAAACACTGAAACGTTTGTAAGAGATCAGATTTTTGGATGGGGTGTTTTCAAATTAACTTTGAGTTTCCACGGACAGGGCATGTTTTCTCCCCACCACGGAATGCAATCCATTTAAAATCCAAACTATTAACGAAGACCCCCAAAATGGAAAGATACCCCATATCCATATGTTAGAAGGTCGGTTAATGTTTATAATACTGTCCTGTGTTTTTGTTTGTTAAGTCTACCTGCTTGCAGTCCCACAGTGTATAAAACACCAAAGGACATTTAGGAGTTAAGGAAACCGTCCCCAAATATCCAAGCTGACTGCTCACAAATGTCAACAGAAGATAATGACTTCTCTTATTCTTTTGTGGGGTGAGGTGTCATGAGTTGGTGACAATCAATATCATGTATTATATTATAAAATGTGATCACAGCTCAAACAATTTTAAAAATGCAAAAATAAATACAATTTCTATGTTAGGGAAAAGATACCATCTCGGGATAGCTTTGCTCCAAAAACAAGCAACTGAGTCAGACATGCCTGGGAACATGGAAGGCCAGCTGCAGCGGCTAGGCACAGAGAGCCTGACATTTCCCTAGCCTGAGACCTGCGTGGATCCTCCCGGCTCCCTGGTCTGCTTGCTGCTAATGCTCACTTTCCACAACTTTGCTAGTCAAGAGAGCGGAGGCCCCCAGAAGAGGAATAGCTGCACCCATCAATTCACCATAGGCCCCAACTCGACCCCAAACGCAAGCGTGAGAGCTCACCTACGGTTGAAGAGAAATTGGAGTAAGCGGAGTCATTGGTGTAAACAAAGGTAGAATTGTGGGAAGGATGCAGAGTGAGCTTGTGGGTTCGTAACACTGGGTGAAACACAAAAGAGAAAGCATAACACGTGAGTGACAAATAACAAATGGAAGCGCATATCTCTCAACCTGGCCCAGTGTGGGAGGGGTTCCTTTCATCCCCGGGATCTTTCTTTTGACCTCCCATCCCTGGACCCCTGAAGCCTCAGATTTATTTAGCCAAAACGATGACCGACTCCAGTGGCTCCATAAGTTTCAAAGCCAAGGCCACCATTGCTGCCAACCTTGGCTACCGTGTACCAGGTAAAGCTTCCGGTTTGCAGGCTTCAACTCCCACAGGGCTACTTAGTTGAGAGATACGGACTTGAACTTGGCTATTTGTGAAATAGCCTCCACAAAAGGATTAATGGTTATGATTTGGTGATAACTGATGAGACAGAAACATGGCATGAAAGCAAGGGCATGACATGATGACAAATAGACAAAACGACAAGGGCTGGGCTACAGGCAACAGGCTGCACGTATATGGCGGGACTTCCAAGGCCATCCCACCATCCATCCCCAGCAGTGGCTGTGCTGAAGGGTTCTAGCCATTTCCTTCTTCTCCCTGACAGCTGGTCATTACATTGAAACATGCCAGGGTAGCACTGTGGCAAACAGAGTGGTCCAAGGGGAAGGTGCCACTTGACCTTCCACATTCTAGGATTTCAGGACAAACCCTGATCTATTTAGAGTCTTACCAGAAGCCAATGCATTCAGCAAACAAAACTCAGCATCGTTTCCAATGTACCTGAGTGAGTGTTTCGAATCCTGCATAGGTAAAGGTGTTTAGAACACCAAGAGTTACTGACTGAATTGACGACAGTGATCTCGGAGGAGGGAGTGAGGACAGAAATATACGGACAATTGTTCAGGCTCTTATTTCCAAAAACTCCTAAAATTTTAGTTCCCAGGTCTCGAACAATGAGCTATTTATTTTAACAATGTCTTTCCACTTGACAAGGCAATTGCCTCTCAAGGGCTTGAAAATCAAGACCCAAGGAAAAAATAGATGATGACAAGGACAAGTGGTCGCTTTTACCTTGAACCACATCAAAAAATTGCACAGGGGTGTGTTTCACTACAAGGCATGGACCATTTGGAGAAAATAGCTGACTGTAGTGTAGGATGGTGATCAGGGACTGCCATCGGTGTAGACAAGGGCTGGCCAGCAAACCACACAAAAGATGACAGGGCTGCACAGGAGGATGGCGTCCATCAGCCTTCATGGAGATGCTCCTCGACCACCTGGCTCTAGGACGACTCTGATGCTTCTCGACCCAAAAATTTTAAGGGATCATTTCAGAGCCTTCTATGGCAGTTTCTAACAGCACATTAAGTCACAAAAGTAAGAGAAACGCCAGCGTGCTGGTGGGGAGAGCATGGCCATCAAGAGGAGGCCTGGTGGTGTTAAAATGCACTGCTCAGGAACCAGTATGGGAACCACTGGGGCTTGTGCTCAGCTCTGTGCACAGTGACACCCTTGCCAGGTGTGTCAGCCACTTGACATCATCAAGACCAACAAGTGATTAAAAACGAAAATGTAAGACTGCCCCCAAATTATTCAAAATTTTAAGAAGAAATTCTAGCTAGGCACCAGTGGCTCACACCTGTAATCCTAGCAACTTGGGAGGCTGAGATCGGGAAGATCGTGGTTTGAGGCCAGCCAGGGCAAATAGTTCACAAGACCCCCATCTCCAAAATAACCAGAGCAAAATGGACTGGAGGTGTGGCTCGAGTGGAAAGAGTGTCTGCTTTGCAAGCGCGAAGCCCAGTCCTACCAAAAATAAATAAATAAAATAAAAAGGAATTGCTTGGGCTGGAGGGGCTCGGTGGCAGAGCAGTCGCCTCACACGTACAAGGCTGGGTTCCATCCTTAGCACTGCAAATATATATATTCATATATATTCATACAGACACATATTCTATATATATTCATATATATGTAAATTCTTACTAGAACTGAAAAGTGTGCTCAGGGCTCTCCTATGCCTCTCCTGCTAGCAATCGCCTGAGTTAAGTGAAGGAGACCCTGACCTTCTCCCTCAGGGTTGGTGGCATTTCCTCTTTACAGCAAGAGCTGTCAGAGGTGGGGAGGGAGCAGTGAAGAAGCAGTTGGCAGACAAGGGGCACCTTTGCCATGTGACACAGTGACCCCACAACCAGAGAGTAGGTCACAATCGGCATGACCCTCGGCGTTGATCGAAGAGCGCCTGTCATGGCAAGCCAGCTCTGTCTGCCTGCAAACAGGCACTGGACTCACAGGCAGGGGAACCACCCCAGAAGGTTCGGCATTAAGGTTTGGGGAAATGCATATTTTAGTCATAGCTTGAGTCATAAATTCCGCCCTTTGATCAAAACAATGTATAACGTTGTGACAAAACACCGAATAATCACTAGGGGGAACTCCCCCCAAAATATTCACGGTCTTCCTCATCCTGGTCCCCATTCCTCCCCACCCCCAGGCCCTCGAGAGGCGCCAGCCCCATGCCTGAGGGCATCCTCACCACCCAGGTCTACCTCCAGTGGTTTCCTGAAATTCATGGATCCCGTCCACGCTTTCCAACGGCCAGTAATGGGAAGCAGAAGCCAAGACCTCGAACCCTGGGGGGAAAGGATCAAAGTCTTAAGTCATCATTAGGAAGGAAGTTTCTGAGGACAAAGAGCTGGGAACTGACAGGAGAGAGGAGCGAAAGAGTCACGTGACAGGTGACAGTGGGTCCTGCTGGAAAGGCATTGACAAAATTCAATACAGAGTCTTCGCTAGAAAAAGCTTAAATTAGAGATCAATGGATTTGAACTGTGCAAAACACAAAAGATAGCAGTAGGCACCTCTTAGCTGGTAAAAACCAAAGCCCAGGCTTGGTGGCCGAAAGCCGGGAAGGGTCCATTCGTGTGGGGGAGAAGGGAAGCCAGACCGCCTGCATCCTGCTACCCAGTGCACTCATGAGGCAAAGTCTGATGCCACTGAACCGCAGAAAGAAAGAAGGTCAAAAATAACTTTACAAGAGGTGGAAATGCCCCCAATATTATGCCGGGCATTGTTGAAGGCACTTTACAAACATCTCCCATTCCACACTAACAATGACCCAATGACCTGTAAGGTAATTGTGTCCTTTGTCTGTTTGTAAGGACCAGGAGTCGTCAGTCAGCTAGGTAGCATTAGCTGGGAGGCTCCAGTCCCTGTCCCGCTCTACCTGTGTTTCCTGCACACCGAGGACCCGTCTTCAGACGTCCCGTGAGACTTTGCTAGACATTTCTTGATACAGACATATTATTTCTATTCTCAGGTCCATGTGAATAAGCGAATTCCCTGCCTTCCACTTCACAAAGGAGGCTGGGCAGTGCTCCCTAGAGGGCTGTCCACAGCACAGTAAGCCATTCTCTTACTGGTGAACGACCAAGCTTTGGTAGGAAACCCTGGCATGAACCTGTCATTCCTTTTCTTTTCCTTTGGTGGAACTGGTGGTTGAACTCAGAGCTCCTCACTTGCAAAGCAGGTGCTCTACGACGTGAACCACACCTCCAGTCCATTTTGCTCTGGTTGTTTTAGAGACGGAATCTTGAGAACTATTTGCCCGGGGCTGGCTTTGAACTGTGATCCTCCCGATCTCAACCTCTCAAGTAGCTAGGATTACAGGTGAGAGCCACAGGCGCCAGGCTAGCTGTCATTTCAATCTCCTCGTGGATCCGTCCTCCAGGATTACTTCCCAGAAGCAGACTTCATGGTCCAGAGGACTAACTGTGACTCGCTGCCCTGAACATCTGCTAGATCCTAAGGAAGTGAAAATTAACAAATCCTAATGCTTTTTGTGGTTAAAAAAAAAAAAAAAACAACAAATTTAAGATGGAGATGATTTGATCATTATTGCCAAATGCCATCTGCCTGATTGCCAAGGTGAAAACCTACTGCAAACGAGAAAAGAATTCAGCAAGGAGACTTATACAAATTTATGAACAAGGCCTATAGCTTTCCTGGATCTCAATAACAGTGCTAAAAATAAAACCAGGAGGCAAGTTCTCACTCCTAAATACCGTCAACTACAGGAATGCAAAACCGGTCGTGTCACAGGGAGGGCTCTCGTGCCAGGGAAGGGTAGATGACGAGGGTGAGGGGGGCAGATATGGCTGAGGTACTTTCCATACATGTAGAATATGGAACGCTGAAGCCTGTCCAAGCCATTTTAAGAAAGGGCGGGGAAGAGGGAGAACAATGGAGGGATGAAGCAAACCGGGGTGCGTGGTACGCATACATGGAAATGTCACAATGGGACCCCCAGTACAACCGTTATATACTGATAAAATGTTTTTAAAATTGAGTAAGACCATTTAATTTTATTGTAAAAAAATAAATAAAATTTAGCTGGGTGCCAGTGGCTCATACCTGTAATCTCAGCTACTCAGGAAGGGGAGAGCAGGAGGATTGTGGTTCAAAGCCAGCCTGGGAAAATAGTTTGAGAGACCCTATCTCCAAAAAAAAAAAAAAACCTATCACAAAAAAAAAAAAGGCTGGTGGAGTGGCTCAAGGTGTAGGTCCTGAGTTTAAGCCCCAGTATTGCAAAAGTAAATAAATAAAATTTAATAGAAAGAAATAAAAATCACCTCCAAACAATGTCCTTCCTGATAACTAGATGCAATATAACTTTGATTGGGATTTTTTTCTCAATATTTATTTATTACTTACTTATCTGAGGTGCTGGGATTTGAACTCAGGGCCTACACCTTGAGCTACTCCACCAACCCTTTTTTTTTTTTGTGAAGGGTTTTTCAAGATAGGATCTTGGGAACTATTTCCCCAGGCTGGCTTTGAACCTTAATCCTCCTGATCTCTGCCTCCTGAGTGGCTGGGATTGCAGGATTACCAGTGCCTGCTTTTTTTTTTTTTTTCTTTGATTGGGAATTTCTAGTCTGTTCTTTGGTTTGCTTTTTGTCTCATTAGCATGAGTTGGTTGTACATATCGACCGGGACGCAGGGTGACATTTCAACACACAGCATCCACTGATCAAACCACGGTAACCAGTGCTTCCTTCTCCCTCTCACTTCCTCAGGCTTGGAGGCTTTGGAGTCTCACCCAGATCCACACAGGATAAATCACAGGCTATTGTGAAGAACAGTCCTCCGGCTGTCCCGTGGAGCACCAGAACCTCTGCCTTTGGGCAGCCGTGTCCCCACCTCCCGCAGAACTGATTTCATCCCGCGTGGCCTTCCCTCAGGGTCCTTAACACCCTCTGAAGGTCTTGGATTGCTGTGCCTGTGACGCCCCCGGACTGGACACTGAGGTCCGTAAGGGCAGAGGCAGGGAGTTATTCAGCTGTGTAAACCCAGCACCTCGCACTCATTGTGTCCTCGATAAATGAGTGCCAAATTGCAAAAAACCAAACCAAAACAAAGGCAGCCAATGAAGAGAAAGCAGTTCAGAAACAAAGAGGAAGAGTGGAACGAGAGTCTCACGAAGAAGAAGTGCACAAAGTAAAGTAGTACTGTTAAAGAAGACTTGATCACGTGGACGACTTATTTTTGGAAAGGCAGTCTCACTTCTATGAGATCGTCAACCGACCTTTCGTTAACCTTGCCGATATCTGGAAATTCGCTATTAGGGTGCTCAGGGTTTTTTTGTTTTGTTTTGTTTTGTTTTATGCAAAGGGGGAAATCAGATAATGGATCTTACATTTAAAAAATAAAGAGGAATAACCAGGAAGATGTGGAGAGGCGACAGAGGAGGACAGGGTGGGGGGCGAGCAGTGGAGACGTCAGGACGGTCACAGAGCGCAGCAGAGGAGTTTGGTGCCACACGGGTTCGACAGTCAGCGGAAGGAAAGACTGGGGAGCTCGGGAGCACACGGGGAAACTTAGCTTATGGTAAAAAAGGTAGGATTTTAAATCAGGCGAGACTGTACTCGGCAAACGGCATCAGAACCAGTTAGCTATTTGAGAAAAAAGAGAGAGATCTTTACCCTGCTCTGTACGCTGTAACAATTTCTAGGTGGATCAAAGTTGAAGTGTTAAAAAAATTAAACGAAAAAGCCTTCTCAAGTTCTAAATTTCACTGCAGTATTCTTTTTAATTTCTGTAGAGAAAAAAAGTTAAATTAAATCACACGGGGGGATGATGGCTTATGTCGTGTATTGGAAGAAATGTCCTGATTTCTTTCTTTTTTTTCTTTTATTATTCATCTGTGCATACAAGGCTGGGGTCATTTCTCCCCCCTGCCCCCACCCCCTCCCTTACCACCCACTCCGCCCCCTCCCGCTCCCCCCCACCCCCTCAATACCCGGCAGAAACTATTTTGCCCTTTGTCTAATTTTGTTGAAGAGAGAGTATAAGCCATAATGGGAAGGACCAAGGTTTGAGATGTACTATATATACCGTCCTAAGAAAACTCCGGAGACTCACACCTGTAATCCTAGCTGCTTGCGAGCGTGCGATTAGGAGGATGGTGATTCAAGGCCAGCCTGGACAAATAGTTCAAGAGACCCCATCTCTAAAGTAACCAGAGCAAAATGGACTGGAGGTGTGGCTTAAGTGGCAGAGCACCTGGTTAGCAAGTACAAAGCCCTGAGTTCAAAGCCCAGTCCCACCAAAAAAATAAATAAATAAACCCTCCAGGTGGGAAACTGTGCAACTGGAGGTGTGAAGCTGTTTATATCTTGTTAGCTCCGAGCCTTCCTTTGAAAACACCGAGGCTCCGCTCTCAACAGTCACAGTGACCGTCGGCAGTGTCCACACCACAGTGTCACAGGGACGCTGAGGCACCGCCCCACCTCGTCCAAACATCTGCACATGTCCGTTCACTGGGCCCGTTTTCAATTTGCATCTGTCCCTTAGGGATTGGCCAAGAGCACAGCCTGCTCACTAACAGGCATGAGAGAAGGGACTGTCACCGCCACCTCACGCCACCAGGACTCTGCCCTGCCGAGGGCGTGAGACAGAAGGGCCTCTTCATCTCCTACAAGGTTTGGGTTTCTCCCCCCCTAAAATCTAGGCTATTCGTTTTCAAAACCCTCATTGATTCAATTCATCTGGGAAAAAAATTGGAACGGGAAATAACACTTGTTACACAAAGAAGGGACGTCTGTCTTCAGGATCCTCTGCCTCACAAACCCCTGGACACCAGGTCCCCTCTCACCAACTCCAGTGCCCCCTGTGCTCACCATGGAAAGAGGGGATAGGATGGGGTCGCTGGCCCTGCTGTCACCGCTGCTCCTCAGACAGTGCTGAGTGTCTGCGTGACCACCACACCAACCCACAGCCGGGCAGTCAGGGACGAGGGCTGTAGCCCGCAGCACCCTCAGGCCCAGGCCCGTCCCGAGAACAGGACATTGCAAGCGGGCAACATGGCCTAGCTGACAGACAGGCGCTGGGCAAAAGTGACCAAGTCCCAGGGCGGTGGCGGGGTGGACAGCGGGCACTGACTACAGACGGCAGCTGTCCTAGACCATACTGTCACTCTACAGGAAGGAATGGCCAGGTCCCCTGCTTTTGAAGACGTTAGAAATCCAGATGGTCTAGATTTGAACTTTCCCCAGATTTTAATGGACCAAGTTTTTTTAATTAAAGTTGTGCGGTTCTAACGAGATGGGCCAGATTCAACCCAGAGGTCCCTGAGTACGCTAACGGGTAAAATAACCCCCAGTCCTAAAAGTCTCATAAGAACAAGGAAGCTCGTTCTTTCGTGACAAAAATGGTCTGTGGCTGTTTACCACCACAAAGGTGACAGGAGGTGATCGAGTTACTTGTATGGCCACCAGAAAGACTGTCACAAGACGGAATGTCTACTTACACAAGACGGCAAGCCAGGCAGTTACGTGGCCATTTGGGGACTTAAAAAATGGGGGAAGAGGGGCAGAGAAGAAAGGAAAGTGGAGGGAGGTTGGGAGAGAAAGGAGAGAAGGAAAAGAGAGAGAAGAACGAGGAAGAGGAGGAGAGGGGAGGGAGGGGAAGGACAGAGGGAAGAGAGCTTTTCCAGTTCGACCACCATGATTATACATCAGTTTATTCAGAATTCGATTTTCGTTTAGATCTAGTGCCTCACTGATTCAGTCTGGAGTGTAAGACAGGAAGGAAGACGAAGAGAGAGACAGGGAGGGGGGAGAGGAAAATGAGTATTAATACTGAAAACAGTTCGTAAGGCATCAGTTAATTCCGCCTCTCTGATTTCCTCCAGGCGTCCCTGTCCCCCTTCCCTCTGACTGGCCCTGTGCCCATCCGGCGCTCATGCAGAGGGTCTGCATAGGGGATCCATCCTCAGCTGGAATCCCACGCAGGGCACCACTGGTCTCTGCTGGTTGCCGGCTCCCTGCTGGCCTCCATCTTTCTCTGCTTTCAACGCAAAAAGCTCCTTTCCCTATCAGACTTCACTTGCTGTTCCCACTAACTGGAATGCTGTTCGCTCAGTGCCTGGTTCTAACTCAGGCCTCCCACCGACAGACAGGCCAGGCCGGTCCTGGCCCTTGTCACCACCAAATCACGTCTCTTCCAACTCCTGTGTTTGTGCCTCCTGTCCGTCACCATCGCCGGGGGTCCTCGGCATGTGTCAGTTGTCTGCGTTCTGCGTCAGACTGTGCCGTGTGAAGGTCGGGACTGTGTCTTTTCTTTGTCCTGTGTCTCCTGTGTCAAACAGGGCCTGGGTGTGTGTGCATGTGCGTGTGCCTGTGTGTGAAGGTCGGGTCAGATTCCTGCATTCGAAGCCTCCCCGGCTCTTAATGGCGGTCGTTATAACAGCTGCATGGATGAACGAGTGACGAAATGCAGGCCTGACTCGCACAGAAGATAATTGAACCTAAGCTAAACACAGAATGCAATTACCTCGGGCGCTCCAGCGCCCCAGAAGTCTCTGCTCGCCTCATTTCCCCGTGTTTGACAGGGCATAAACACACTTTTTAAAAGGTCGTCGTGGGCGCATTTCTTTCTGCGCTAGGAAGATGAAGACCCAAGTTTCTGCTGTGAGCTGGTGGTTGGGACAATCCTTTATAAACCAAAGGCCTCTCTGTCAATATATGGAATTATAATCACTGTAATTATCTACTTTGGGCTCTGAGCAGGGTGGTGACGCAAGCTGCCCGGGCCTCCTGGGGCCTCCTGGGACCGGCATGAGTTGGCATCTCACAGCCACCCGGGATTGGAAGGGTCTAGGTGTGACATGGTCTGCTGTTTTTCTCAAGTTCCCGTTGCTGTTACAAACATTATCTATAAAAGGGCATGTTTATAAACTTGTCAAGTGGCCTGCAATCTCCTGACTGATACCATTTATGGGTCTGAGTTAACCAGCCTGCAAGCTTCCACAGTCGTCCTGGGCAACAGAGGCCGAATCGAGCGCCCGGACTGTGAGGGGAGGGCTCGGGCCTGCGGGGTGACTCTGCCGGGCCTGGCACCCTCTCTGGGTCTCCTCTCCTGTCCCTGACTCTCCTATAAACCGGGCATGGGCTAAGCCGGCTCTGGAGCTCTTGTCAACCACAGCAGCCCATAAGATGACAACCGATAGTCATGGATAAGCACAGATAAGGCCAGGTTCTGAGTGATCTCCTGCTGCTTTGAGATCATTTGTAAACCAGATACAAAACTAAATGCCTACCTTAGCTCTACCATAAAGGTCCTCCAGACATCCGGTGACCTGAGCCGCGGTGTAGACAGGCAAACCAGAGTGGGTACTTGGAAGTGGAAATGGCACAGGTGGGCTCTGTGTGATTCGGTTTTCCAAATGACTAACCTTCCTACCGTGCCAAGAGGGGTCGCACGCCTTTACTGAGCACTTGCTACACAGACAGCTTGGGACTAGGAGCCAGGATGAGCACACAGGAAAAGCTCAGTCGTAACCTTTCCTTAAAAATGAACTTGGGTGTGGTTGTGGTGATCAGAGTTCCCAGCATGCACTGAGACATCTGAGCTCCCGCAATTGCCTGGCCCTAGGCCACTACCCTTTCTCCATCACTACCTTAGGTGCTGGGCCCCAACTGCCTCCCGCTGTGAGTCCCCTGGCTCAGCCGAGTCTTATGAGCTCTGTGACTGTGAGCAAGTCACCATCTCTGAAGGACAGGCTTGGCATCCACAGTGTGAGTTTGTGCACTGATCGGAAGAGCTGTTGCACTCTACGGTATGACCCTGGCAAAAGCGTCCGGCACACTTTTTTGGAGGATACTTAGTAAGCTGCTTCAGTCGGTCACTCCCTTCCTGACAGGCCTCCAGGCCTGCTCTGGTTCTCCCTATCTGGACAGGCCCTTGGCACACGCATGGCCATCTGGGGGGCTCTAGATAGACAGCTGGGCCTGGGCTTTCCCCCATGGTTCCCAGGAGGCCTCACAGGCCATAGAGGTAGGGGTAGAAATGCAGAGGCCTCCAGATCCAACAAACCAGACCACCAGGGCCGGGCTTTCAGTGGGCAGCAGTAGACAGAGACTAAAATGTAGGAAGAGACCAATGGAGGCTGGAGGTGGGGAGAGAGGTATCAGGAAGCAAGGAAGTAAGGAAGTAGGGGAGAAAGGGTGAAAGGAAGAAGATGGGGAGAAGGAGAAGGAAGAAGGATGGAGGGAGGGAAATGGGACTAGGAAAGGAGACAGAAGAGGAGGTGAGGAAGGCAGGAGAGGGAGAAAGGCGGAGTAGGAGACAGAAGGAAGCCTGGTGTTGTGCTGAGTGGGGACACACGGAGGTGTTCCCTGAAGGTCAGGCCTCCTCACTGTTCTAAAATGGAAGGAAGGAAAAGGTACAATGAAATTCTAAGTGGGGAGGTGTGCAGGAGGAGAAAGGAGAGAGTGGGGTTGCTAGAGACAGGAGTGAGGGCCAGAGAGAAAGCCTCGTGGCCGGGGTGTGGAATGGGATCTTGGAGCTGAGTTCAAGGCTGTCCTCGCCTAGGGACCTCGGGCCTCGGGGCTCTGGGCTTCTTCCCAGAAGTGCTTCTGTCATCTACTCCTCCAAGGTGACCAGTGGTCAGGAGAGGAAGGGCTCCACCCTTGCGCAGGTAGAGGAGTGAATTCGAATCTCTCTTTGAGGTTTAAAGTCCAGAAAATGAGCAGGTGCATGGCCGCGTGTGGACACGGGTGGACGCGTGTGGATGCGTGTGGACACACATGGACACAGCCTGGATGCGGAAGCTGGCCTCCCTGGTTCCTGGATGTGATGCTATCTCCAACCAGTGACACCGGCTCACATGGGTCACCAGCCTTTCTCCCCATGGCAGTCTCCTGCCCACACACCTGTCCTTCACACCTATCCATAGGCCTCAGCCTTCCCTTCCGTCCTTCAGCAGTTGGGTGGAAGCCAAGGGGACAGGTGGAGGCCCTGCTCTGCATTATTTTGTGCAGAGGATTTTTAAGGAGAGCCTTAAGGATGTGGATAAAAGAGAAGTGGACACTGAAGCGGGGGAGCAGAGGTGGTAAGGAGGACTGAAATGTCCCCAAATTGTGTGGTATCACGTCCAGAAATCTGAGTCAGGCCCCCTGCTGAGGGCTTCCACAAAGGAGGGCCTCAGAGACCTGGCAGTGGGCCTGAGGTCAGGTTCCCTAGCAGAGGGCGGGAACCCCACGCTTCCCTGACTGTGAGTCAGAGGCCTCGCTCCCCAGCCAGCAGGCCAGGGTTCCCGGCAAAGGGTTAGAATTCAGAGTCGTCAGGCCCTGACCTCCAGCCAAGAGGCAGCCAGGAGCCCCAGGCCCAGAGCAACCTACGCCCCCCCCAAGCCTCCCACCACTTTCCGTCTGGCCCCGCCTGCCATGGCTGTGCCCCACACTTGGCTGTGCCCCGTCCTTCCAAGCAAACCTCACCCTCAAGTTTCTAGATGCACACCTGCAAGGAAGGATCACACCGTGAGACTCAGGGGAGCGCCCCCCGCAGAGGTCCACCCAGAGACAGCCACAGCCTCTTGGGGACATTACCTGGAAAGGGCAGAAAGATAACAGCAGCCAGAGGCACCAGCAGCTGACGGAAGGCAGCTCCCTCATGGTCCTCAGGGTTCAGGACAGGGTCATAGAGTGCCGGGAGCACTGGCCTCTACCTTCCACTGCCTGAGGACAGGGACATTTCACAGGTTCCCGGACTGAAGCGTCTGTTCCTGTAAAGTTTGTGACGCGGTGCCTAGGCGAGCTCTGGGGCCTCTTGCCTTCAAGGCAGAGTCACGTGGCGAGGCCAGGCTGGCTCCAGATGCACAAAGCCAAAAGTGAGCGAGCGAGCAAGTGAGCGAGCGGTCCAAAAGGCTGTGCTGCTGCTGCTGCTGCCTGGAGAGGGGCCACCTTCCAGCCTTGCTTTTCCTTTCTGGAGCTGCTTGTGCCTCCGTCCAGGTTGGGGACACGTCGGTCCCGCCTGTCTTGATGGCAGAGCTGCCTGGGGCTCCGCTCGCTCGCTTGCTCCCTGGAGCTCCTGGGCTGCTCTGGGTTTCACACCTCGTCCAGCCCAGCGCTTTGGGTGGGGAGGCAGTGATGTCAGCTCTCCTCAAACTTTCTTCTCCTCTCTCTATTTATATCCTGTCCCTGCTCTGTCCTTCCTGGGTCCTAACACCAGCCCGTTAGGAACAATGGCAAACACTTTCAGCCTAGGATCAGAAGGGACAGACGGAAGGGACGCTGAGGGGAGCAGGGTGTGTGTGAATGTAGGTGTGTGGAAGCGTGGGTACCGGGTGTGTGCGTGAGTGGGTGTGGATGGGTGTGAGTGTGGGTGTGGCCGAGGTGTGGCAGGTGTGAGTGTGGGGAGGCATTTTACAGATGTCGTCTCACGGGCCCCTCAAAGTCACCAGAAATATTAATAACCAGAAGGTGCGGGTCAAACCATGAACTCCGCAGAGACCCGCGTCTACCTTAAGCAAAGGTCATTGTCTGGAGCAGCCTGGACAATTGTCCGAATCTCACTCCGTTTGGAATTCCTGATCTTCAGCACTCACTGTGCCCTGTGCCCTGCAAACGCTGACCCCCACTTTCTCTGCAGCCCTTGCTGACGTCACTGACACCCAGGATGACTAACAAGGGGTCCCGCAGGATCACCCCACTCCACCTTGGCCAAGTCAGAATCCCCTTAGCCAGCTATGCCTCAGTTTACCCAAGGTGAGAGTTTTTATCCAACTGATCCCAACTGCACATAGACACATGCCTGTGTGCCCCACGATCGCCATCGCCACCGACTCTGTCCAGTGACGTGACCACGCAGCACGTAGCTGTCCGGACCGCCAAGCTCTCCCAAGCTGCACTTTTGGACAAATGTCCGAATCTCACTCCGATTGGAATTCCTGATCTACAGAGTGGAGACAAGGGGGGCAACAGGAAAGGAGAGGACACGCAAAACTCCTCCCTCAGGGCTTGGGCAAGATAGAAAATGACACCCAGCGAACACTGGGAGCCCGTATCTTCTCCATCATCTTGACTTAACATGGGAATTCGGCGTCCGGAGTCGGCCACGCTTCCTAAAGAGGGTAAGAGATTACTCCCAGGCTCCCGGGGGAGGGAGAAGGGCTTTAACTCTGATTATCTGATCTGATCACCAACCTCCCTGCCTGGCTGCGGGCTCCAGATGGTTCCTGCGAACGCCCCCTCCTGCCAGCGCCAGGAAAGCCGTGGACTCCGGACTCCAGGCTGCTCGAGATAATGACCTTTAGCCTGGTGCCTAGGCGTAATTGCCAGGGAAAAAGTAATTTACAACCTCCGTCTTCACGTTCATCAGTAACCCAGTCCCCGCTCCTGCCTCCCGCGGGAGGGGAGAGAAAGGAGGGGCTTGAAGCCTGCAGAGGTTCTCAGCTGGGCCTGAACTCAAAACCGGATTGCTGGATACATTTTCCCATTGCTAGAGTGGAAAAGCCAAGATGTGTCTTTATTTTGGGGTGAGGGGATTGAGACAGGGTCTCTCAAACTCTCCATGGTCCTGCCTTGGCCTCCTGAGTGCTGGGATTACAAGCAGACGCCAGCATGCCTGGCTATTTTTGTGTGCAGGGGGTGGGGTGATGCAGGGGCAAGGCTATTCTTTCAATCGTGAAATTATCCTCAGATAATGAGAGACAGGAACAAAAACTCTCTGTAAAGGACCAGCCCCCCCCCCCCGCCCCCAGATGTCCACACTTAGCCATGGACTCACCCTGGAGAACAGTCCCAGGCCCAGCCTGCAGGTGCTACTTCTGAGCCTGCCTCACTTCTCCATGCTCACTCGGTCTGAGATAAAGAGCCCCTCCCCTTTAAAACAGCATTTCCCCAGTGCTGAGTTACAGTCACAACTCTGGGGGCTTGGGGGGGTGCTTTTCTGCGGGGGTGGAACTCAGGGCCTCCCAGTTGCTAGGCAGGCGCTCTACCACTTGAGCCAAGCCCCCAGCCCTTTTTGCTTTCGTTAGTTTTCAAACAGGGTCTTACGTTTTTGCCCAGAGCCAGCTTTGGGCAAAGATCCTCCTACCTACCCCCTTCTGAGTAGCTGGGATTATAGGCATGCACCACCACACCTGCCCAAAGCTTTGGAGATTTTTTTTTTTTTGAAGCTGATTAGTTTTTAATTGGCAAAGATTGAGTGTTTTCATGGCCTGGGGACAATGGCGCCCTAACCAACCCGTGAATTTGAATCAGGACTGTGAGTGGTGCCGAGTGATAGTTTGATCTACGTATACATTGTAGAAAGACTAAGCGAAGTTAATGAATATGTCAGTCACTGTATCTTTTTGTGATTGGGAACGTGAAAAATCTATTCTTTTAGCAACTTGAAATAAGAGCGTACTCTTATTAACACACAACACGCAGTGTACGGATTGAGCACAGCTTATTCCTCCAGCCGGCCTCGTCCCTCTCCACCGTCTGCCCTTCCCCCACCGGGGCCACTGGTCCCCACCCCTCTCTGTCCCTATGAAATTGACCTCCTCACGCACCACATATAAGCAAGATCACGCAGTAGGGGTCTTATGTGTCAGTCTGGATCGCTCTGCGTGACATAATTTTTGCTAAAGACTTGGGAGGTTCACACACCTGGAATCAAATATCCCGTATGAGCCTCACACGGTGGCCGCCCGCAGGTGGCTTCCAGGGCCGCCATAACACGGGGCTTTCAGCTCTTTCTGCAACGTTCTTGAAACGTCTTTGGTCACTTCCTATCTTCCAGCCTTTTTTCTGGGGGTGTCCATCTCTCCCCTGCCGGGGTGGACGCCCCCGGGAGCTGGGAGTTTGCTCTGGGACTCGCTTGGTTCTTAGTCCACGCTCAACATTCAACGTTCAGAGGGATTGCTCTTGGATGAGTGCTTTTGCACTTAGCCTCAGGGATGAGGAAACCAAATTGTGCTCGCTGGTAGAGCACATCAGGTTTCTATCGAGTGGCTGCTAATTAAATATTTTAAATGAGCCTTATGTTGCAATTAAGCTCTACTCAATAAATTTTTACAGATATGCTGCAGAGGAGAGCAAGAGAGGATGGGCGTGGCTGGATTTTACCCTGCGGGCGTGGAGTGAGCGTTTCCTCCATCCCAGCAGCTCGGGACCCCGGGAAGGATGGGAACAAGGTGGAATGACAGTGGGTTCTAGTGCTAAGTCACCTCGCCCCGAGTGCTGCACCTGCCTCCAGCCACGAGCCATCCTCAAGTGTGCGCCCGGTCACAGGCAGGCTGGTGGCTCCCACGAAGTGTGCCAAGAGGTGCACGGCTCGAACAGGACAGACGGAGTGGGGAAGTTTGGGGGATGGGGTCACTGCAGAAGTGCCATGAAGGCGTTAGGGGATTCTTTGTCCTAATGGTTAAGGGAAGGAAGAATGTTCCAGAAGGAAGCTATGGACGGAGCTAAGCTCGGGATGCGCTGTGGTGTGGATCACAGAGGCGCGTACACCCAGACCCTGCCCTCCCCTGGTTGGTTTTCCCTGTGGACAGGGCTCCTCCATAACCCCCGAACTTGAATTGGGACTGCTGGGACTTGTAGAGGACCTGCCACACTTTGGGCTCTGTGATCGGTCCAGCTGTGAACCTGCGACCCAACCAGTGTCGTCCTAGACCAATTAGGATGACCTCGGAGTCAGGACACCTGGGCCTCCCCCAGTGAATGAAGTCATTGTGTGTCACCACAAAGAAAAGACTCACCAGTGGCAGAAAATAACGGGCCACCATGGCAAGTCCAGTACCGTGTCCTTGCGAGCGGTGTGAGAGGGCGCTCCACGCCAGCTGAGCCCTTTTGCTCTGACCAGCACCGGTGAGTTCACGTTTGAGCTCAAGCAAGTTTGACCTTGGATCTGTCCTTTGCGATTGTGTGAGGTCCTGGTCACGGCCACGTGTTTGAGGGACCGCAGCAATTGGGTTTCCGGTGAAGAGTGGGCACCGGCGGGGAGTGGGGAGGTCTGAGGCTAGAGACTGGCCACAGTCCAATGGGCAGGGCAGGGGCAGACCCTCTGGTCTGTATTTTCGTTCATTTATTTCTTGGTGGGACTGGAGTTTGAACTCAGGGCTTCGCACTTACAAAGCAGGCACTCCACCACTTGAGCACGCCTTTGAGCCAGCTTCCCAGCTTACATTCCCTCGCTCCCCGCGACCTCACTGCTTCCTGGGCTGAGGTTTTCGCGAGGCTGAGTGCAGAGTACTTGGGGACGTTCATGTGCACTTGTCTGCCGTAGGGTGGGGACGTCTGTAACGTGGATCGGCGGTGTTGGTCAGCTCAGCCGGGTCCTTCTGACTGCTCTGTGGACTCTGTTTGCCCCTGAGGGACGAGACTGCAACCACGACTGCATTTGTCTACTCACCTCCACCACACACGTGTTTGTCACTGTTCTCTGGTTCCTTCCGTAGATGCAGACCCATGTGGGATTGTTACGTGCCGTCAGTAAACTTGCCGTTCTGTCCTCATGAAATGACCCTCCTTGGCCCCAATGTCACACCAGGTCCTGAGGTCACTTTTGTCTGTGCAGCCACTCCGTCTCTTCTGTTTAGTGTTTGCATTGTGTCTTTTTTTCCACTATTAACCTGGCTGTGTTGTTTGTATTCAAAGTATTTCTGTGGACAGTGACTCTGGCTAGGGCTCTGTCTTTTATCCACTCTAGGGACCCCTCCCCATCTCTCATTCGCGGCCCTGCAGTGACTGACACAATGGTAGTAAAAATCTGCCTGCTTC